TTTTTTTTTTTTTTCTAACGAACCAACCCCCTCAAAGGCCAAACAAATTTGAAAAATGCACAACAGAAGTGCACATTCTTTTCCCATAAATGTATAGCGCGTGTGACTTTTTAAACCTTCTCTCTAAAGGAATGTGTGTGCATTGCGGAATCCTTGGAAAACCCAGAGGACCATAGGGAGGAAAATGCAAATCACCTGTACGCCGTGAGATTCAAGCCCATCACATGTCAGAGTTTGCTCCTAGGATGGGGGGGGGGGGGGGGGGAGGGTATGGAGAGGCAGTGGATGGACAGTTAAATCCTTACCTGCAACACCTGCTGAATGCTCCGAAGCCAAGAGACACAGTGCTGCTGGAACATGTCTGTGGGACTCTCCCCCACCAGCAGGGACAGCAGACACAGGCCCTCAAACCTTATAAGCAAGAAGAGAGTAATACCAGATGGGCAGAAACTGTACTTCAGAAAAATCCAGTGACTGTTCTGTCACTCTTGCTGGGCTATAGCAAGACTTTACCCTCAGACCCACTGTGATTACTAATGCCTGAAATGCTTGGGGTAAGGTAGGAACAGCAAGAAAAAAAAGGAGCAGAGATAATCTCAAGTGGGAAACAGAAAATTTGGAAGCTGCAAGGAGTGGGTTTGATTCAGATGAGCTCACAAAAGAATGAAACTCCCAACCTTCCTGAGAATGGAGAAATCTCTTGAATCCATGGAGAGGTAACAATGGATGGACAGATGCACATACAGCCCACTTCCTAAGGGAACATCCCCCTGGAAAAAAATATTGAAAAACTTACCGAGTTTTCATGGAACCAAGACATGCATTACTGAGATTCACCAATGCCCCAACGGCAGAAAGGTTCTGGAAGAAAGAAAACGGGAGTCCAGAATAGGACATTAAAGACAGAGGAGAAATTCTCCAACACCTTCCCTGTCCCAGTATCAAAGTCTTTCTAAGGTCATACCTTTTCTAAGGCCAAAAGGCTAGCCCTTCAGAGGCCTTTAACCAATGCCCTTTTCTCCTGTGGGTAACAAACATAGCAGCCTGTCCATCAACCTCTCCTCAAGCTCAATCTTGCCTGATCCACTCCCCTATGTCCTACCCCATGATCAGAGCTAACAGAGGACAGCCAAAATTCTATATATCTGCTTCACTTCTGCATCCCTAGACAACATCATGCATGGAGGAAACATCCAGAAATGCTTGCTGAATGGACACTGAACTCATCCCTATCCTTTTTCCTTAACCCTTAAACAGATCTTCCTCTTCCTATTCCTGGCTTCCCTACACCTGAAGAACATCAACACAGGTCTATTCAACAAGCTTCCTCCCTCCAATCCTCTCCTTCTCTCATATGCTAGAGCCCAGGAAAGATGTTTCCTCATGGGCCTTCCCATAAGTAACCTCTCCATTAAAGGCCCAAACTCCTCTCATGGTCCACTACCTCCCTAACGGTTTATATCACTCATTCTTTCTAAACAGGTATTATACATGGGGCCAGGTAAAGGAAGACAAAACTGAATAAGTAAAGCCCATGCTCTTTATTGATAGCGGGAAATAGTCATTCATTTATTCAATAAACATGTACTTGGACTTCCAGGAAGATGGCAGAGTGGTGAACAGTAGAGAAACAGCCTCTCTGAGATTTGGTGTCCAGAGCTGGGATACAGCAATATGAGGAAGAGGAGAGAAGTGGGTCCCCAGGACCCAGCAAGGATCTGAAGCAAGAATTGAAGCCCACAAGGAGCACAAAGAGACTTCAACAAAGGCGGCAGTGGCAAGTGGCGCTTTCTCCCTGAGCCCTGGCTCACGGTGTAGGAAGGACGGCTCAGGCCTGCAAACGCACAGTGACTATTGGCGATCCCAGAGGCCTCCACAGAGAAACACACTAGTGGAATGGAGCAGTGGATACAGGGGACTGCAGTGGCTGGTTAGTTATCTGGGTTCAGATGTCCCCCAGGAAAGGGTGATTGGTTGGTAGCCATCTTAGAGAGGGGCCAATTGAGCTTGGAACTCAGAACAGCTGCAGGCTGACTCCATCTAGTGTCTGCTAGTGTCAGAGTAAGGTGGAAACGGAGTTCAAGCCAGCAAGAGGTCAAAAAGCTGAATTTGAGGAGCTGAGTTCAAGCCAGCAGGAAGCACAGGGAGTACTACATGCTGAACAAATCGGGTTCCAGCCTCGCTACCAGAAACCAGCCTGAACTTCAGTGAACTAAACGCGCAGGCTCACTGGGATTATCCACTATCCCGCTGTAAATCTACAGCTGGCTTGCTGGAATTAATCAATACGGATCTGGGCTCTGTCTGCCCAATTTGTCTACCAGTGACAGCAGAGACACCTTGAAGTGGACATTTTTTTCTTTTTTCTTTTTTTTTTTTGGTCTTTGTTCTTTTTTTTATGAGTGTGAACAGTGTCTAGTTTGTTGTTGTTGTTGTTATGTTGTGTTGTGGTTTATATTTCTTCCTCCTCTCTTCTTCACCAATTTCCCAGTTTGTGTAATCTTCCTTTGTCCTCCAGCCTTCCTTCTAATATCTTCTTCTATTTCTCTATTTTTTCCTCCTAATCCCTTTTAAATTTCCTCCCTTGAGGGTAAAATCACCATATTGAGGGCATATTTACTGTACATAATTTTCTGGTTTTAGATTTTGTTATATAACAACAAATATAGTTCATACAGTTAAAGGCACCAAATTAATAATTACTAGAGTTTGTCATTCTTTAGGCTGTGTTTGATGGTACTGTTATTGCTGATTGTACTATTTTACCCAAGGCTTATGCCTAAAGGTTATAAACAATACTCTAAGGCAGTGCCAATTTGGCTAGGCCAAGTAGGCAGCAACTTCTCATCCCCAATAAAGTGAAGAGGTAGGATCTTGCAATAGACTTAAAACCTAAAAGCCAGCTACATCTGGAAGACATCTCTGAGTAGTAGTCATTTCCCAAGGGTTCTAAATACTAGCAATAAAGCTACCTGCCATAAGCAATTTACAAGCATCAACCCAGGAATTAAACTAAATATATACATAATATATTACACATATAATAAATACATATACTATATATGTATGACACTTAAGCAAGGTGTAACTCTAGACTTCCAGCTCACCAAAGGCAACCCAGGGAGCAAAGAGGTGGAACAATGTGAATAAACCTATACTTAACATTTACTTCCTGTGAGACTTTGTTTTAGGTGCTTAGTAGCATACTTTCTAGAGGAGACAGAAAATAAACTGGTGAAATATATACAGGTTAAGCTTCCCTAGTCAGAATACCCAAAATCTAAATGCTCCAAAATTCAAAACATTTTGAGTGCTGATATGACACAAGTAAAAAATTCCATACTTGACCTAATACAACAGGATTTAGTCAAAACACAGGTGCACAATAGTTTGTTCACTGTCTGAAAGAGAAAAGCAGCCCTTCAGGTGTAATTTATCTTTTCTGCATGCCTGCCTATATTTCTTCACACAGCCTGCCCTAAAGGGTAATAAAAAGCAGGTGTGCAGACCAGACTACTCAATGGCAGATTTCCCACAATGTTGTACATAGGCCCAAGACCTGTGTGGATTACTCACTGTTTTGTTTGCGTTTGCTTGTTTTGCATTATGATATATACAGATATTGTTGAAAATGTCAAAAAAAGGTTGTGGATACCCTATGGGTAACAGTGATTAAAAAAGCGTGGACATTTCCCTCTAGCACATGCCAATGAACATGATAATAGAGATAATGAAGATGACATAAATAATGCAGAAAGTGACTATAAATGATATAGTGAAAATGTGTGAAGGGGTTATTAAAGGACAAAGGTAACAGGCAATCATAATGGAACAAGAAATCATGTCAGGTGGGCATGGTGGCGCATGCCTGTAATCCTAGCACTTAGGAGGCTGAGGAAGACAGATCGCTGTGAATTCAAGGCCAGCCTGTGCTACATAGTGAGTTCAAGGCCAGCCTGAACTACACAGCAAAACTCTGTCACAAAGGGGAGGGGAAAAAAAGAAATCATGTCGGTTTATAAAACCAAAGTTTATAAAAGCAAAATATGAACAAGACAGATGACTGCAGGAAACATTTCAAAAATCAATCCAGGGCCGGGGATTTAGCTCAGTGGTTTCACCGCCTGCTGTGCAAGCGCAAGGACCCGAGTTCAATCCCTGGTACCAAATTAAAAAAAAAAAAAATCAATCCAGCAAGCTAGGCATGCTGACACATGCCTGTAATCCCAGCACTTGGGAGGCTGAAGCAGGAGGATCGTCACACATTTGAGGTCAGCCTAGGCTACAGTGAACTGAAGGCCAGCCTCAACTGCATAGTGAGACCTTGCCTCAAAAAAAAAAAAGAAAAAAAAAAAAACCCATCCAGCAGAATGCCTCCTCAAATCCAGAGGATCTAATTCCTAGTCTCACAACTGTTTCTGATGTTTTGTCCTCTCACTCCCAAAATATAAAATATGATGCACAGTAATCACTCGATAAAAAGAGCATGACAAGTGCAAGCTGAAGACCACTGTTTGCTGGTCCTGGTGTTCAACAGCCAATACAAGAATTCTGGTGATATTCCTGTGCTGCTTACTTGCCCCAATTATCATTTTTCCACTGTATTAACATTCTTTACTGGAAAGCACTTATGTGTAAATAAGTGTAAGAAAATGATTGCTTACTGGCAGTATATAAATCATTGCTAACAAATAATGATGATGACCAAAAAACACAAATTGTTCACATGGGAAGCTGAGGAAGTGACAGCTTTGCTTTTCCATGGTCCAATGTATCCAAACTTCATTTCATGTACAAAATTATTGAAAGTGTTTATATAATCTCCTTCAGTCTATGTATACAAGGTGTGTATGAGACATAAATTAGCTTCATGTTTAGACTTAGGTCCTATCCCTGAGACAACTCATGTAGACACAAATAATCTAAGCTCAAAATATGAAATGAAAAATTCAAAGCACTTCTGGTTTCAGGCATTTAGGGTAAGGGATACTCATCCCACATATAGTATGTCAGATGGTGTTAAATGCTATAAGGAAGAATAATGCAGAATAAGAAATGGGCCGGGGATTTAGCTCAGTGGTGCTGCCAACTGCCTCACAAGTGCAAGGTCCTGAGTTCAATTCCCAGTACAGAAAAAAAAAAAAAAAACCAGAAAAAGACAAGGATGGCCCAAGTAGGGAATACAGTAGAGTAGGCACCAAAGTCCTCTCTTAAAAAGTCAAACAAAGAGCCAGGGATTTAGCTTAGTGGTGCTGCCGCCTGCCTCACAAGCACAAGGTCCTGAGTTCGATCCCCAGCACCAAAAAAACGGTCAGAGATCAACAGGAAAGTAAGAACAAGATATATCCTCATATACTGCTAAGAGGACCAGGTTTGGGGGATGAGATTCAGGAATTCAGTTTCACATATGTTAAATCTGTGGTATCTATTTAAGATCAAAATGGAGATGCCAAATAGGCACAGGGCTGACAAGTCTGGAGTTACGAAAATTCCTAGTCATGTGAATTTGGAAGTTGTTAGCTTAGAGACTGGATCACTCCACCAAGAGTATTCATGTGAACAGAGCAGAGGAGCTAGCACATCTGTAATTCCAGCACTCTTAAGAGGCTCAGTCAGGAGGATAATAAGTTCAAGCCCAGCCTGAGCAACTGAGTGATTTAGCAACACCCTATCCCAAAATAAAAAACAGGGTAAGGGTTGGGGATGTAGCTCACTGTAAAGGCCCTTGAGTCAATTCCTAGTACAAAAAAAAGAAAAAATACACATAGTACAAGGACTGGGTCCTTGGGCACTCAAACATCTAACAGAGAAAGAACCAGTCTTTACTGGAAAAGACTGGCAAGGTATGACCAGTGTGGTAGGAGAATTCAGAATGGTACCCTAAAAGTCAAGGAAAAATAGGTTTTGTTTTTTGTCCTACTGAGGATCAAATTCACAGCCTTACTCTGAATAACACCTCCAGTCCTTTTTATTTATTTTGAGACAGTCTTGTTAAGGCTGGACTCCAACTTGTTATCTTCCTTCTTCAGTCTCCTAAGGAGCTGAGCTTACAAGCGTATACCATTGGGCCCAGCTTTAAAACAGTTTTTTAAGGAAAGAAGGAATAATCAACTATCAAATGATACAGATGGGTCAAATAACATAAAAACCCAAATTTAACATGAGCTTTTTCTTTTTTTTGAAGTGGGGCAGGGTGGGGATTGAAACCAAGGCAGAGTTGGGTAGGAAGGCAATAAACTGGCACAGTGTTGTTAAATTTGGATGACAAAAACACTACAGGGTGGGGTGGTTTGAAATATTTGTGTATGCCTGAAATTTTCCTAAGATTTTGGCAATCACATTCAAAAACAAATACACGCCTAGTTGTACAAGTATGGGGTGTGGGAAGTTGTATATACTGTTTATGTAAAACAGAAAGTGTAATAAAGAGTAGTTAATATCATAGGTGATCGGAACGGTTTCCTAAAGGCAGTAACATATGCAGCGAATTGGAGGGATCCAGGATGCAGTTCAGGGAAGCATTCCAAAAGAATAGTAACCACAAAAGCTTTGAGGCAAAAAAAAAAAGCCCCATCCTATTTGCCACCACAGCCTAACTAAAGGATTTTTAAAGGCACCAAATAAGATCAGGATTTTACTGTAAAAAGCTCACTCCAACTACTGTGCAGAGAACGGAGTAAGAGTGCAAGACTGAGGGATGGGGATTTAGCTCAGTGGCGCCACGCCTGCCTCGCAAGCGCAATGTCCTGAATTCGATCCCAGGTACTGCAAAAAAAAGAAAAGAAACGTGGTCGCTTCGGCAGCATATATACTAAAAAAAGAGTGCAAGACTGGGCAAGGAGAACAGTTAGATTATTGCTATAATCCAAGAGAGAAACTGTGCACTGAAGCCAGATGTGGTGTACACCTGTAATCCCAGCGCTTGGAAGGCTGAGGCAGGACGATCACCATGAGATCACCAGTAAGAGCTCGGTAAAATTTGTATTTTGAATACGTCTATTAACCCAGTGAAAACCAGCCTTAAAGCAAATTATCTCCTGAAGAGGCTGAAGATCATTCTGCTAGTGAGTGACCCGGCCTCAAACTGAATGTATTCCTGAGTAACTACCAGCCTAAAAACAGATACGGGGCCTAATCTTTTCCCTGGAGTAACGGCGGATAAAAGAGAAATACGTGAATTTCAGCTCTCCTCCCCTCAACCTCCCCACTGCAAGTTCAGTACAGGGTAAACCCCATGCACAAGTGTCCTGCCAACCTTCGCACAGGGTTGGCGACAAGTGAGGCTCTGACTTACCTGGGCCCCGCCCACTGTTCCGTGCAGCCGCAGGAGGCACATGAGCCCTGGCAAATGCGGGGCCGAGCGGACTGGGGGATGCACGGGAGCAACGCTGGACCCCGTTCGCGGCTGGAGCAACCCAGAAACGCTCTCCAGCAGCAGCAAACGAAGACGAGGGCCCGAGTTCATCGCCGAGAGACCCCCAGGCCCACCAGGAACCCCAGCGGGGGAGCCCGCAGAGGTCCCACTCAGAACGGCTGCCGCCATCTTCCCCCGGCTCTGATGATGGCGTGGCGCGATGACGCAAACACACCGCGCCGGACGCCTCTGGGTGAGCGGGCATGAGGAGGGGGCTGCAGTCCTGCGCACTGGGTGAACGGAGGTGGGTTCTTGGGCTCAGGCTAGCTAGGAGGGAGCATGCGCGCCGGGTGGCAGGTGTGGTGGTAACTGAGAGTGGTGGGTCGGGGCGCGGTGGGCGGGGCGGGGCAGGGCAGAGCTAGAAGCTGTCCAGTGGTATTAGCGAACACGTGGTCTGAACAAAAGGCGCGGGAGTCTGAAAGATTTCTTTTAAGTGGAGTCTTGGGATTCTTTTGCTGTAGAATTCAGTAATACCTAAGGAGCTGACCCCCATGTTTGTAATCAGACATTTTAAACTACATTTCCACCCTATGAAACGATACAATATACGCTCCTTTGAAAAACAAGTTAGAGTAGGGATTATAGCTCAGAAGTACAGCACTTGCCTGGCAAGTGTGAGGCCCTGAATTCGATTCCAGGTTAAAAAAAGAAAAAAGTTAATACAGAGGCATAAAATAAAAAACTCCCTCTCCTCAGGACCTCCCCAGGTAATATGTATACTTACCTAATATTAGTCTGTGCACAAACTCATAGTCTATTTGTAAGAATAGGATATACACTTGGCTTTTTCACTCAGAGTGGACATCTTAATCTGCACAGTAAGAATGAAATTGATGAGCCATGGTTTAATAGCTCAATTCCTGATGGCTGTTGTTTGTATGTAGTTGTGACTGTTAGATTCAAGTCCCAGAGTCACCGTTTTTTTCTTCTCAAAATCCTCTATCCAATTCAAGTCCAGGCATTCTGCTTCCAAAATACATTAAACCAACAGGTTAATTTCTCCCTCATCTCCAGTGCCACTCTTGGTTCTTGGTCTTCATCTGCTGTAGCACTTGTTGAGAGCATTTGCTGTAACATTTGGTTCCCTGACCAGGAATCAACCACACGCTGACCACTAAGGTCACCAGTCGAAGCCCTCACAAAGCAAGTGGGGACCTCTCTGGTGCCCCAATGGGAAGGCTCACCCTCAAAGATTTCTCGGAGTCCTGGAGATGAACTCCATTGCTCGCTGCTTGCGGCTCTCCAGACCCAGAAGGGGAAAGGATACTTGTCTGGTCTGGACTGGTCACTGGATAAGGTAAGACCCCCAGAGGTGCCCCAAGTGAGTTCAGTCCCAGTCAATTTGAATGAAGTTGGGCCTGATCACCCCTCATGAGTGAAGATTCCCAGGGAGGGTATATTTAACCTCTGAGAGTCTGTTGTATGAATGAGTGAATGGGTGTGAACAGACAGTGTAAGCCATAGATTGCTCCGTGTATGCTCCAAGGTGAGGGAACCCTCAGGGATCCCATAGCTACAGAGTGTGTGTGAGTCAGATTTCTGTGGTTCTGTGGTTCCTATGGCTAAGTGGCAGCTCACATCTCTGTACTGGGGGGTCCCTGACCAAGCCCAAGATTACAGGTGTGCCTGTTGCCAAGACAGATCTTGGTCCCACGAGGGGAACAGCCAGAACTGACAAGTGCTTGGTTCCTCTTTGTGGGGCACCCACCTTTGTTTGTCACAATTCCATTCAAGGGGATACAACATATACATAGAGAGATAGAATAGGTGCAAGTGAGAGCAAACCTACAGTCCTTGATTACATGCTGAAAAACTTTAAAAGAGGATTTCCTAATGACTGTGGAGTGAAAATGAAACCTCAGAAGCTCCATGCCTTTTGTGAAATTGAATGGCCAAACCTTTGCCCCAACTGGCCATCTGAAGGGGCACTTGATGTTGAAATTGTCCATCAAGTTTGGAACAAAGTGACAGAGCCTGATGAACAAGGCCATCCTGACCAGTTCCCTTACACTGACTCCTAGCCCAATCTGTATCAGAGCCTCCCACCTTGGCTCCACACCTGTGTCTTACATGATGAAAAGGCCATCCTAGTCCTAAAAACAAATCCACAAAGTCATCTGAGAGGCTCTCAGATTTACCCCAAGCCAGAAAAGCTTTATCCTGTTCTGCCAGAGGACCCCAAGTGGCCCTTCAGCTCCACTGGCTGTTCCTGATTCCACTGGGCCCCTGCCCAAGGCCCTCCCCACCTCCAGAATCTCTCCCACCTCCTGGAGCTCTACATTTACCACACCTGCCCTTGCCTGCTCCAGCTGTGCCTATAAGTGGCCTCCAGACTCCTCCACCTGTTCCTGATTCCTCTGGGCTTCCATCACCTGCCCAAACCTCTGCCCCAGAGTCTCTCCCATGGCCTGGAAGCCCCAACAGCTGCCTTTGCTCTTACACTCATCTTGAGACTCCAGCTCACCTCCAGTTGCCACTTCGCGCCTACCCCAGAGCTCAAAGAGACTCATCCAACCAGCTGCCCCAGCTGTTCAGCTCCACTGATCTCCTAAATTGGAAACATCACAACTGTCCTATTCAGAGAAGCCCCAGGCAGTGACAGACCTCCTGACATCCATCTTCCAGACCTACCTGCCAACGTGGGATGACTGTCAGCAACTCCTTCTGACTCTGTTTAACACTGAGGAATGCTGCAGCATTTTAGATGGGGCCAAAGCCTCATTAAAATCAAAAGTCCCTGCCACCGTGGTTGATCCTGACACTGGGGTAAACACAGCCCTCCCCTGAGTCCATCCAGAGTGGGACTATAATACAGCAGAAGGCCGTGAAGCCATAAATCAATACCACCCTGCTCTCTTCGCAGGCCTCAAAGCGGAAGGCAAAAAGCCAATAAACATGTCTAAAATTACTGAAGTGGGGCCGGGGATTTAGCACAGTGGTGCCACCGCCTGCCTGGAAAGCGCAAGGTCCTGAGTTTGATCCCCAGTACAAAAAAAAAAATTACTGAAGTGACCCAGGAACCCAGTGAAAGTCCAACCAAATTTTATGAGAGACTGTGAAGCCTACAAGGTCTACACACCCTTTGACCCTGAGGCCCCTGAAAATCAAGATGGTCAGTGCTGCCTTTGTTACACAGTCAGCCTCTGACATTAGAAGAAAAATCCAAAGGATTGATGGCTTTGCTGGTATGAATGCTACTCAACTACTTCAGATTGCTTAGAAGGTTTTTGTAAATCAGGGAAGAAAAGAAGGAGCAACGATGTGAGGCAGACTGCAGAGCCTACCAGAAAGCTGCCCTTTTATCTGCAATGTTAGGGAAGCCTATTCCTGAAGTGCCCACCAGTGCCAGTCCTACCATGGCACCTGACCTAAGGGGGCCCCTCTAGCCTCACAGTCTAAAACTGGTGGCAGACCTTATGCCTTAGTAGCTGACCAATGTGCTTGCTGCAAACAGTTTGGACATGGAAAGATAAGTGCCCCCTCCGTCTGAAGTATGCAAAGAAATCTGACTATGTTGGCCCACCTCAGCCTGAACCTCTCCTCTCTTCAATGACAACAAATAGGACAGACCAGGCTCTATTAGATTGGGCCCCTGGGGAGCCCACAGTTGTTGCCAGAATCTGGGGAAAACCCATGACTTTTATGGTGGACAGTGGAGCTGAACATTCAGTTGTGACTCAGCCTTGCTCCCTTGACCTCCTGGTGAATCCAAGTCATCAGCACCACTGGAGTCCCTACTGAAAAGAAATTCTGTCAATCCAGATCCTTTGAGATTGGTGGACACTTTATTAAACATGAGTTCCTGTACATGCCTGAGTGCCCTATACCTCTGTTGGGATGTGACCTCCTTTCCAAGTTGGGAGCAACCATTTCCTTTGCTCCTAACCAGCCAGCCTCCTTTGCATTCAGATCCATCATCCTGGACCTGATCTTGACTCTGACTGTGCCCTGGGAAGAAGAGTGGCACCTACACCAGCCTGAAATGCCTGATAGTCATAACCCTGAGGTCTTAAGAGACTTATTTCCAGGAGTATGGACAGAGGACTCACCCCTGGGGCTTGCTGTCGACTGTGCCCTTTGGTGATCGAACTCTGTCCTACCACAACCTCCATTGTTGTTAAGCAATTCCCAATGTCACAAGAGGCTCGACTCAGCATCCAACCCTACATCTCTTGCTTAAAACGGTTTGGAATCATAATAGACTGTCAGTCACCTTGGAACACTCCTCTCCTCTCAGTAAAGAAACCCAACAGGGATTACCAGCCGGTGCAGGACCTCCATGCCATCAACTCCACCACCACAACTCTGCACTCATGGTTCCCAATCTTTATACCCTCTTGAGTTTGCTTTCCCCTGATGTTGCCCGGTTCACCTGCCTGGACCTAAAAGATGCCTTCTTCTGTCTATGGGTCAGACCTGTCAGCTAGCCCATCTTCACCTTTGAATGGGAGGACCCAAGGCAGGACTAAAAGGCCAACTTACCCGGACCCATCTCCCACAGAGTTTCAAGAACTCCCCCATGCTCTTTGGAGAAGCTATAGGCATGGATCTGGCCCAGTCTCCACATGCTGATTTCAACTGCACCTTGCTACAGTATGTAGATAATCTGCTGATTTGCAGCTCAAATAAATCAGACTTCTGGAAGGGAACATAGGCCCTTCTCCACCATCTATTGGCCATAGAGTATAAAGTCTCCTGGAAGAAAGTTCAGATATACAAGCCAAAAGTGCATTACTGGGCCAGGGATTTAGCTCAGTAGTTCTGCTGCCTGCCTCGAAAGCACAAGGTCCTGACTTCGATCCCCCGTACCAAAAATAAAAACAAAAACAAAGTGCGTTACCTAGGATTTGACCTCGAAAAAGGACTCAAACACCTGGGCCCAGAGAGAAAGGAAGTCATTTGCTCCATCCCAAGACCCAACAATAAAAGACAACTTAGAGAATTTCTGAGGGTTGCAGAATTCTACTGGATATGGATACCCAGATTTCCTGAAAAGGCTAAGCCCCTATATGACATGCTAACAGGGAAGGAAAATGAAAGAGAACTGTTAAATTGGACTTTAGAGCAAACTGATTCCTTCCAGACAATAAAACAAGCGGTATCAATAGCCCCAGCCCTGGGCATTCCTGATGTGATCAAACCCTTTCACCTATTCATCAACAAACGAAGACATGTAGCATCAGGGGTTCTGACCCAAAAGGTCAGCCCTTGGGAGAGGGCTGTTGCATATCTGTCAAAGAACTTAGACTCTGTAGCCAAGGGCTGGCCTCCCTGCCTGAGATCACTGGCAGCAACTGTCCTCATGATTAAAGAAGCTGACAAATTGACCCTAGGACAAAATCTGACAGTTCACATGCCACATGCTGTTCTAGAACTGCTCAACAGTCGGGGATATCATTGGCTCTCAAACAGCTGTGTCACTCAATATCAAGGACTGCTTTATGAAAATAACCGACTCACTTTGACCAATTGACTAAACCTCTGAACCCAGCTACCTTCTTGCCCACTGAGCTTCAACCCCCCAGACCACGACTATCTAGCCCTGACTCATGAACTTTTTGCAAGTCAGCTGGACCTACAGATGAAACCCTTGTCTGATGCTGAGTACACCCTATTCAAGGATGGAAGTAGCTCAGTCAAAGATGGAAAGCATCAGGCTGGATATGCTGTTGTCACCACAGAAGAGGTGTTACAACAGGGCCTCTTCCTCAAAACTTGTCTGCTCTGCAAGCTGAATTATGGACCCTGATATAAGTCCTCAACTGGGCAAAAGGAAAGAAAATAAACATGTATACTGACTTAAGTATGCTTTTGCCACTGTCCATGTCCACAGAATGCTTTATAAGGAACGTGGACTTCTCACGACAGAAGGAAAACAAATTAAAAACAAGGATGAAATCTCTCAACTCCTGACTGCAATTTGGAAATCTAAGAAGCTGCCATTATCCATTGCAAAGGGCATTAGAAAATAAAAGACCCTTGGAAACCACAAGGCAGATGAAGCCACAAAATTGGCACCCAAGGGCTCCAATTGGAGAATTTAAAACAGAATCTTGAAGTCCAACATGAAATACCCCATGATACTGTCCTCGGTCTCCACAGCAAGCCCCTCTGCTATCCCAAGGAAGAAAATACATGGGCACAACAAGAAGGGGCTCACATACAACCAAACAGTGCCTGGACTCTGCCACATGAACAAATGGTTGTCCCACAAAAGCTGGCCTATGCCTGGGTAAAACATCATCATAACATCACACATAGAGGAAAAACTGCTATGAACCAACTTCTAACCCATTACTATTGTATCCCTAAATTAGCCTTAATCTGTGCCTCCATTAGTCAGAGATGTCAAACCTCTACAAGGACTCAGCCCCCATCTGGGCCTAAACCCCCACCTGGTATCCAACATGCTGGACTTTCCCATTTTGAAGACCTACAAATAGACTTTACAGAGGTCAAACCATGTAGAGTCTACAAATGTCTGCTGGTGCTTGTGTGTACCTATTCTGGATGGCCAGAAGCATTTCCTACAAAAACTGAAAAAGCCACCGAAGTCTGCCAAGCACTGCTGAGAGAAATTATTCCTAGATATGGGCTGCCTTTGACCATAGGCAGCAACAATGGACCTGCCTTTGTGGCAGTAATAACCCAGAAGCTCAGTAAAGAACTGAAAATTAAATAGAATATATATATAGGCCACAAAGCTCTGGAAAGTTTGAAAGGATAAATAGGACTTTAAAATCAATATTGACTAAATATCACCAAGAATCTTGGGCACCATGGATAGATTTACTTTCCATGGCCCTTCTCAAGGTCTGAAGTTCACCAGGACCCAAGGGATATACACCCTTTGAAGTTTTGTACAGGAGACCTCCTTCCATAATTAGAGGTCTCCAGGGAGACCTATGCCAGCTACAGAACATATCCCTGCAGGAACAACTTACACAATTAGGGCAGACTTTTTCTCAGATACACAAAAACATAGCTGAAAGACCAGCCATACCCACAGACACACCTGCCCATGCAAATAGCCCCAGTGATATGGTTTGGGTAAAAGATTGGAAAAAGGAGCCTTTACAGCCAATCTGAAAAGAACCTTATATGTTCATATTAACCACCCCCACAGCTATTAAAGTTTCAGAAATTCAGCTGTGGATCCATCACTCTTGGATCAAGAAGGCTCACCTGGACAACTGCTGGAAGGCCTGCCCAGAAGAATCAACTTCCCTGAAAATTACCCTGAGGAGACAACGCACCCAAAGCCCTGCTCCCACCAGTCCAGAAGCTGATGGGTCTATGCACAGCTGATGCTCCAACTTTGGAATGAACTGTGGACAATTGAGCTGCTTGTTTTATGGAGTGTTGGAACCAGTCACCCTTGTTTGTAACTGTTGGCTTCTGGTATGCCATACCCGTACGTATACAACTGTACAAAGATGTTTCCTATTGTTTTTTGTTTATTTGTTTTGTTTTGGTACCAGGGATTGAATTCGGGACCTTGAGCTTGTGAGGCAGGCAGTGGAACCATTAAGCTAAATCCTGGCCCCCTATTGTTGATCTGTATCTGCTCCTACGTGGTCTACTTGGCCAAGCAAACTCAGGGCACTGGGAGTTCCAAGCCCAACTTTATGGCACCGATCCCATGGTAATCCTCAACAGGACTACATGGGATCCCTCCCAGCCTACTATGTATTTGTATTTTAATGCACGTCCTATTGAAACCAAAAACCCAGGCCAGAATTCCTATGTTTAGGAGGCTTAATCTGGGAAAGAGAATATCAAACCAATAACAAATATGTCTGTCCCAAATGGTGCCAGCCACCTGGAGGCCAAGGGCGTCTAAGCCACTGTAGAGACATCCTAGATTGGTTCTTCCTCTATTGGGACTGCCCCATGGACTACAGGGGGTACCTGAATATGCCCTTAACCCAGCTCCCATCAAACCCTAATTGTCAACAAGGGACTTGCAACCCAGTAAGGTACACTGTCCAGGACTCCACCAACCAAGAGTGGGCAAACAGTTGTCAGATGAATGTCCAGGTAGATGGTAGGGGAAAAGACCCGGGGGTAATCATAAGAATCCAAAACGTCTAGGCCCCATCACTCCATATCAGTATATCTACACCAAGGCCACCACTGCTCCCATTCCCCCCTGAGCCCAAGGGAAACCTTACTGACCCACCCACACCTAACCTACACACCTATTGAACACGAACACACAGTCTAGTCATAGTCTAGTTTGACCATGTTCAAACAAAAGGGGGGAAATAAAGCAGAAAATACACTTGCTCTCAGTCAGAAGACCCCACCCTTCAGTAAGCCTTTTGTTCTCCAATAAGTTTGTTTCCCCAGAATGATGTAACCTCTTGACCCTCTTCCTGCCATATGAAACCAGAATGTAACTTTTGACCAATCATATAATACCTTCCTGTTCCTGCCATATATAAAAAAGGGTGACACTCAATGTATCTTTCTGTCCAGTCAACTAACAACAAGCGCTCTGCTTCTGTACTTCCTGCTTGCTCACAAACCCTATAAAAACCTGGCACACCGACCTTTCAGGGCCTGACTCTTTGGGAGTGATCCCAGTCAGGACTGCCAAAGTCAAGAAAGCTGTACATTTGCTCCAAACCTCGGGTCCCACTCAGTTCTTGGTCTTGGTCTGCTGTAGTACTTGCTGAGAGCTGTAGAATTTGCTGTAATACTATCTCTCTTAGGCCCACTAAAATCCACATGATCCAAACCCACCTCTTTGACCATAAAATATACTACCACTAGTGCCAGGCTAAGTGACAGGAAGATCCCACGACCTCTAGGTCAGCCTCAGTTCAAAGCCAGCCTAAACTCAGACCTTGCTCCAAAGGGGGGGTACTTTTACTTCCTAATTCATTGGGGGTTTTTTGTTCCTTGAGACAGGATCTTACTGTTTAGCCCAGACCAGCCTCACACTCATGCCAAATCCTCCCAAGTGATGGGATTACAGGAGTGAGCCACCATGCCCAACTGATGTCTAATTTATTGACCATCCTTTGTGTCTAAAATACAAACTGAGGGACCAGGGATGTAGCTCAGTGGCACCACACCTGCCTGGCAAGCACAAGGTCCTGAGTTCTATTTCCATTGAGGGGGGATACAAACTGAAATACAAACTCCATGAGAGGGTCCTTGTCTTCTTCACTATTTTATTCCATCACCTGGAACAATGCCTGCCTAACACATAATAGGTGCTCAGTAAACATTTGTTGAGTTGAGTAAATAAATAACTTTTGGATGAAGGAGAATGCCTGTCTTTTATTGGTGGTAGTGGTTGGTTTTTGTTTGTTTTTGTTCTTGGTGTTTGTTTTTACAGTGCCAGGGACTGAACCCAGAGTCTTAGTATTATAGATAGCTAAGTTAGGTGAGAATGTTACAGGCAATCAGACAGGACTAGGCCCTTGGGGGAGTCAGTGCAGAGGATGAGAACACATTACAACTGTGCCTTGAGATGCATCTGTTGGAGTCCAGGACTCAATATACAGATGGAATAACCAGGCCTATATACCTCCTCAAGGGATAAGATAATTGCTATCACCTGGTCCAATAAAGTCTAGATAGACATCAGTCACCCCAGTAGGTGACCAGGACCCCCGATCCATCCCTTCCTAAAGAAAATACTTGTTTTTTTCCATATACATTTGCTGTGTGTCCTGCTTCCTTATTGGATCAATAGTACCTAAACTGCTATACTTGTAATCTTATCGGTTGATCATTGTATCCACCTTGTGATTTTGCTCTATAAAACTTCCTTTCAGAAGTGGGCTCATCGACAACCCACTTTTAGGTCCCCTCCTGTCTCTTAGGAGCTGTCTCTCTCAATAAGTTTTCCTGCTTTTAACCTCTGTTGTTCTTTTGAATTCATGCTTCGATTTTGGGGAGCACAAAATCAGTGTACCTGACATCTAGCCGGTTGGGAGTTAAATTTATTTCCCCTACATCATCAGCACTGAGCTACATCTCATCTCTCCGTCATCAGCACTGAGCTACACCTCCTCTCTCTCTCTCTCTCTCTCTCTCTCTCTCTCTCTCTCTCTCTCTATGTAGTTCAGTCTGGCCTGATACTTGTGCCCATCCTCCTGCCTCAGCCTCCTGAGTGCTGGGATTGCAGACATGCACCACCATCCCTGGCTTAATCTCTTTTTATTTTTTATTTTGAGATAGAATCTTTCTGGGTTGCTAAGTTGCCCAGGCTGGACTCAATCTTGCAATCGTCAACAAACAAAACAAAACAAAAAAACTTAGAATCCTCCTACTTCAGCCTCCCACAGTGCTGGGATTACAGGTGCATACCACCACACCTTGCACTTTCAAGGCAGATGGCAGAACCACCGAGCTAAATCCCTGGCCCACCTATTTTTAATATTGATAGGTACTGGCAAAATCCCCTTTAGAAAGATTACATCAGTTTATACCTCTGCCAGTTTTGTGCTATAGTGCTCTGTACCTGTATACTGTCCCAACATAAACTTTATATTTTTAGGTTTGTCAATCCAAATAATCAAGACTATTTCCTCCTTTTACCTTGCTTTCCCTGATCCTTAGTAAAATAGAATAACTTTTCATATGTTTAATGTACATTTCTATTTCTTTGTTATTATTTTTTCATGTTCTTTGTCTTTATCTTAGGAATTATTTGTAAAAATGGGAAATTACTCTCTTTTATGCATTACCAGGGGTTTCTACCAGTTTGTCCTTTTATTATTATCATTATTTTTAAAGCTCAATCTTTTGGAAGTAAGGTGTGATTAAGGGTGCAGACTCTGGAGCCAGACTGCTGGGTTCAAACACCAACTTTGGTTCTTACTCGTTGTGTGATTCTATCAATTGGTTATCTGTGCCTCCAGTCCTCATCTGTAAAATTAGAATAATTATAAAGCCTTCACTCATAGAGTAGTATTAAAGGGGTTGATATTGCAAAATGTTTAGAATGATATTTTACACATTATAATACAATAAAGCATTAGCTATTATTACTTATAACCCTGGGACTTGGTATCTTGGGAGGCCTTGCTCCACCCCCAAAATTATTTTTTTTATTTTTTCCCTAAAACTTTCTTGAGTTTTTTGTTTGTTTGTTTTTGTTTTTGTTTTGAGACAGGGTCCCACGATATAGCTCAGGCTGGTCTGGAACTCATTATGTAGTCTGGGCTGGCCTCAAACTCCCAGCAATCCTCCTGCCTCAGCTTCCTGTGTGCTGGGACTACAGGTGTGTGCCACCACCCCCAGCCTAAAACTTTCAAAACTTTTCTCTGTGTGTTTAGATCTTTAATTTATCTGGATTTCATTTGTTTAATATAGGAGAAAAAGGTCCAACTTCTTTATCCCCAGTGGATAGACAGTTGCCTTAATCCTATTTAGTGAATATACCATTCTTTCCCCAGTACCTTCACATGCTACCAAGTGGGTCTGTATATGGACACTTCTGTTCATTGCTCTTTTTAGTTTTACTGTACCAGTAACACAATTTTAATTATTATAACATAATGAAATATCTTTTCCAAAAGAGAAGTTTATTTGCACACTTAAAACCTATGCAAAAAAAAACAAAAAAACAAAACCTATGCAAGTGGGAAGGCACTCCAGTCCCCCTGCAGCCAAAAGGGTCTCCCTGGCCACAAAGAGTCTACAGGACTACAAACTTCCACTGTCCCCACCCTCCCTCCTAACCTCCAGTCAAAAATAATCAGGATTCTTACAAAGGGTCCCATTCTCTTCCCCAGTTAAAACCCAAATGACCAAGATGAGACAGCTCAAGGAAGGCACCTGTGAATGCTAAATGGCTGTCAGGCAGGGAGGTGACAGATGGCCACTCTCATCCCAGTGACACCCCCTGGCAACACTGACCCTGTAGACATTCCAGGGATGACACTGGTCCTCCTTTGGATCCCACTCTTGCCTCAAGATGTAACCTTAGAACCTAAAACAATCCCTCTAGACCTCCTGATTCCAAAACCAGCACCCCACCCCATTCCATGGCTGAAATTAGTCCCCTGAGCCCATGTGACAGGAGCCAGCCAGTGGGTCACAGTCTCATGCTTTCCAGATACTCCTGCCTGGCCACCTGTAGGTGGAAAAGCGGGCCACCACTGAGGCACCTAGCCACACACTAAGTGCCTTTTCTCACCCACTCATGTGGTGGCCTTGCAGGGGAAGTGACCCCCAAGTTCAGCTCCTGGCACAGGCACTTGATAAAGCCAGGATACAGGCTGTTTCCACCACAGGGCACCACATGGAAAATGAGCATTGGCTGCCTGGGGACCTCATAGGACTTGGTGGAATCCACCAGGGCCTGGGAGATGCTGGGGCCCTGAAGGCAGAACACCTGTGGGCTGACGAACATCTTGAGTGCCGTGCGCTCCAGGGGCATCAGCTCCACAGGGGTACCATCTGGGAGCTGGTAAGTGTTGCCCTTGTCGGAGCTACTGGCCAGGCTCTGGTGAAAGTCCAACACCTCCTCCAGATTCTTCAACACATAGCATTTGCTCATCTGTATAGTGGCCACTGTGCCCATCTGGAAAAGGTTGTCCTTGTCACATTCTTCCTTAAAGAGGCTCTTGAAGAAGTAGGTGGAGAGGTCCTCGCTGGCAAATTCCAGAGTCCCTGCTGTCAGCCAGGGGCCAGCCCAGAAGGAAAGGCTGCACTCGGATCAGGCTGTAGCCAGAGTGAACCACCACGCCAGTACAGAGCCCTGAGGCGTACAGGGACATCTCCAGCTGGTCAGCTAGGAGCAAGGACAGCATTTCCAGTAGCTCAAACATGAGCTCTTCTTGTGGGTCGCAGGCTCCTTCAACTGTAGCTTCGTGAGCATCACGGGACAGTCCTTGTGCTCCACCTTGTGGTGCTACAGCACAAAGGTCCAGGTATGCTCCACGCCTTCCCAGTTGATGATGCGGCCATACTCGATGGGGTAGCTGAAAGTGTCGGGGTTGCAGGCCCAGGCTCACGCGTCTCTGGGGGGTAGCTGGGGCCGGGATTCTCCTGGCAGGGAATGTAGTTCATGATGCTCGACCGATCAACTGGGACTGATTCCAACCCAACCAGCTGGCCTTCAGAAAGCCAGACCTGTGGTCTGTGACGATGGTTTTGGCAGCCATGGCTGAGGCAGAGGTGGAAGGTCTTCCCACATGGGTCCCTGAGGGGCTTTGGCACACTAGTGCCACCAGAAATCTGCCCCATGAGGTGCCACAAAGCTCCTCCTAGGAGAGTTGCCCTGCAAAACTACTTAGGGGCTGGGAACACCAGGCTCCAGTGCACACCTCGGAGCCCCACGTGCCCTGAGCTCCTGACAATCAAAGCAGCGCCCACCCCAACCTGCCCCCAGAGCCTCTGCACCTTCTCCATAATAAATTATCTTAAGTGCTTACTTGATCGATTACTTTTTCAGAATTATCCTGGCTATATTTGAAAGTTGATTCTTCTGATTATGTTTAGAATCATGTTCTCCCCATCTTGTTATTTGATACGGTGTTAAATTGATAGATAATGTGGGGAGAAATGTTATCTTTCTCATGTTGGGTTTTCACACCCAAGAAATAGTGTATCTCATTCTTTCTGGCCTTCTTTAATATATTTCTGAAATTGTATTTATATTAGTATCTCTTAATACAGTAGAGTTTGCCAGGCATGGTGGTGCATGCCCATAATCCCAAAACTCTGGAGGCTGAAGCAGGAGGATAACAAGTTTGAAGCCAACCAGAGCTACATAACCAGTTTGTTTTATTTTATTTTGTTTTGTGTTTTGAGACAGAGTCTCGCTATATAGTTCAGGTTGGCCTTGAATTCACTTTGTAGCCCAGGCTGGCCTCAAACTTGCAGGGATCCTCCTGCCGAAGACTCCTGGGTGCTGGGATTATAGATGTCATTCACCATGCCCAGCTTACATAGCTAGCTTGAGACCAGCCTGGACTACATAGCAAAACTGTGTCTCAAAACAAACATATACAATAGATTTCATGCCATGTAGACCACTGCCTTTCAGTCCCCAAAACACTTCAGATACAGCTCTTATTACCATTTGGTGATTAACTTTGGTCAGTGTCAAATTTGAATAAAAACAATTAATGAGCCTAAAAGAATGTATGGCCTATATATAGCTTTAAAAAATGGAAGAGTAAACTTAGAAAGTAGTGATAGAACTGAGGAGTGGGTGGGCAAGGCCTGTGTTTGAACCATAAAGATGATCTGAGACTGTCTTATGTGTTTTGTTTTTTATTGCACAGAAAAGTAAAGGAACAGGTGTGACGTTAGTTCATTTGGTGAATCAGAGGGAAAGTATGAGAAAAGAGACAGAAGGAGAAATATCTCTGTAAGTCCAGAAATGTCCATCGTCTTTCATTCTCCAAGTCCAGTTTCACTCCAAAAATGATTCTTCAGTGTGACCCCTCTTTTCCACTCTTTCGTTCCTCATTTTCCCTTGGCTAGTTTATCTACAGCGCTCTTGCCCTACTCCTTCCATCCTCCATGTTGCCCAGAATTATCTTCTAAAAAGAGATATCTCATCATGACACTCCTCTGCTTTAAAAAATCACTCTTGTTTCCACGGGTCCGCCTCAGTCTTTCATGGGGAAGAGCCCCAGTCTACTTCAGCTGTTATACAAAATCCTCCACATGTTCCTGTCCTTCTGGGTCATCTAACCCCACAAACACTTCAGAACAGGATGTGTCCTGCCTTCCTTTCTCTTTAGAATGCTTTTTCTTCACGTCTGCCCATCCTTCAGAACAACTGTCCTCAAATTTCCCTTCTTCTAGACAGCCTGAACTCCCTGTACCCCCGCGATGGCCGAGCACTTTTAGTTCCTCTGTCTTCTGAGTCATACCTCTATTATAGCATTCCTGGACTCATAATACCTGTTTATGTGTCTCGACTATATAGGGAAGCAGGGGCCATGGTAATTCATGTGTGCTTGGCATAGTATCAAGGATGGATGCACGGACGAACGGATGGATGAGTGAGTAGATATGTCTACTGGGTGAGGTGGGTACAGGAGATGAAAAGTCAGAGAAATTTTAAAAAGGAACGCTGCGAGAATCGAAGACAAACACGAGAGGGAGCTAAGCCACCACAATAAAGCAGGACGTTCTGGGCTGAGCGGGTGAGCGTAGCGCACTGAAGCAAGCATCACGCAACTGGAACCGCTCACCCACGTGTGCATCCCTCCTCGCTCTCCTTCCCAGACTGTGTTTGAGCTCATTCCACCGCCTCCACCACCCCGGTCGCCTCCACCGCCTCTGAGAAAGCAAACAAAGGGGTGGGGACCCCTGCAAGGCTCTGCCTGCCGAGGTGCCAATCCGAAGGCTCTAATCTCCAGCAAGGCGGGCGCCTTCGTTTAAAGAGGCCCAGTCAGCTTCTAAGGAGTTGCGGGGGGGGCGGGGGAGATGGGTGGGACGAGTTGCTGTGAGGAAGACGTGCGCACGGAGGGCGGACTCCCCAGCGAGACCGAGGGAGGAGGGGGGCGGAGCCAATCACCGATCTTGTAGGTGAGGAGAGGGCGGGCAGCGCCCGGGCGCGCGAGATCCGGCTGACGCATCTGGCCGCGGTTCTCTAAAACCGGAGGGGAAGGGGAGGAGGAGAAAGAGCAGAGGGCGCGCATGCCCAGTGGCACGGGGAGGAGCAGGGATCTGGCAGCGGGTGAGAAGGCTGCTTGCAAGCCGCGAACCGGGAGGGCGCGCACACCATGGGGGAGAAACCCGGGACCAGGTAAGGGAGGTGGGGCCACGCGGCGGGGCCTGGGCAGCGGCGGCTCGCGACGGGTGGCGGGCTGGTCCCCGGGCAAGGACAACGAAGAGAGAATCCAGGCTCCGGACCCGTAGGTCCCAAGGGGGCAGCCATCTGGGGCCGCACGCCTAGGACCTCGAGGATAATGGGGAGAGGAGATGCCGCGAGCCTGGGCCCCTGCAAAAAGGGAGGCCCGAAAGGGATCGGATCCCGATGTCGGGATTCTCACTGAGATGTAGGTTCGGTCGACTGGGTTCTCCCGTGCAGGCTGCGATGCAGGGGCGGAGGAAGGAGCAGGTGGCCGGCCCCAAGGGGTTGTATACGGGAAGACTGGATGCTTGAAGGGGATCCTCCCTAGACTGATGGTCAGCCAATGGAAAGCCTTGCAATACCCTACGGAGAGTCAGGCTGCTCCCACCTGTCCCCAGGGCCAGGTGGCCCTACTTCCAAACTTCTGCCTTCACCTGGCTAACTAGGAGCAACAGCTTCTTCTGAGGGACCACAATGCGTAACGACCCTCCCTGAAATTAGGCTATGTCCTTCTCCTCAGTTCTGTCCAAAGCACACACTCCCCGGATGTTTTCTGTGCAATCGAGGTTCCTTCCTTCCACTGATACCCCGAGTTCTCTCTTTTTTTTGCGTCTAGCAAAATCCACTTCCTGTTGTGACCCAACACCCGCAAAGTGTCAGAGGTGAATGACTGAGTCCCCAGAGAGTAGGAGCAAAGGAAAAAAACGTTGGGGCTGTATGCGTCGATTCAGAGGGGTTCAGCACCCCCTCACTTATTCTGCAAAACATATCAGCCCCAGCATATGAATATTAGTCCAGGTTTTTGAGCATCAAGAGGACCAGTATTGGAGAGAGATGATCAGAGGAGGGATTGGCATCCTGGATTTGGGGTTAAACACCCCCAGAGAAGGGGGAAGTCGCTGACTTGAGGGAGGCCCCCTAATTTACGTTATGTGGTTCAGGGAGGGGGACAGAGTGACCAAAAAGGGACTGCTGACTTGGCACAATTCTCTCCACCCTCATCAAATTCTGGGCCACAGGAAATGGAGAGAATAGCAGGAAGTGCAAAGGGGCATCTGCTTCAGTTTCCTCACACATACACTGGGCACCTCCCTGGTCATTCCCGTGCTTTTTCTCCATGGCCAGCCTCAGTATGTGCCTGCTGCTTCTCCCTAGGCTGGCAAGAGGTGGCTGGGTTAGGATACAAAGAGCAGGTGCCCTGTAGTTGCTCCAGGAGCCACACTCCATTTGGCCAACCGATTGTGACTACTGCAGCCCTCTACCAGGGCTCCTAAATGGGAGGACACATCGGGACAAAGAGGAAAACGAGAAGTGGAAGGGAGGGAGAGCCTGGATGATGCCATATCAATCAGTCCCTAACTTGAGAAAAAAAGGTAGGGTGCTTATTCTAGCTGCAACCATGTCCATGTTTACACTCCTTTATTGGTTGGGGACACCTGGGGGCCTCCATACCCTTTGCTGTATGAGCTTTGGCCTGCAAGGAGAAAGGGGCAAGTTTCTACTTGTTATAGTAGAAACTGGTGGCGGAGTTGGAGGAGGGATGGGATAGTTGGCAGGGTTTCAGTTTCTATCACTGGGGACTCTCTAGGAGCTACTGTTGAGGCAGAGTGGATTGGAAGGGGTAAGATGGTGTTTCAAAGAACCGGTCCACAGTGGGCAGCCCATTAGGGTCTCCAGACACTTCTTTAACCTTCTAGCAATGAGTGGAGTCCAGGTTTCGATTTTTTCAGCAGGGAGGAATAAGAAATTCCCTTGAGTTTGACAAATTATGCCATTTACAAAGATGGGTAGTGTAACAGTTTAGTGGTTAAGGGCAGGGACTTCAAGCCAAACTGCCTCAATTTGTATCTGAGTTCCACCATTTATGCATTCTTCGTGATCTTAGACAAAATACTTGACTTCTCCATCTCAGTCTCCTGACTTGTAAAATAGGGATATTAAGATCTCCTTCATGGAACTGTTCAGAGTACGGAATGAGATAACACACTTGAAACATTAGGAACACCTGGGCATGGAATATTCACCCAATAAAAACTAGCCATCACCATCATCTTCATCATATGGCTGCACTGTGCTGGAGGTGCCTAAATGAACGAGGGGAATTCATAAGGGTGGACCAAAGACAAGAGAAGCCTTGGCCACTGGCTTCAAGGGGCTGCCATATAAGAAAATATGACAGACCTTCTGGAAAGAAGTGGAAGGAGAGAGCTGGGTAAAGTCTCCAGCCAGGGACGCAGGGTGAGCTCTGCTTCTCAAGTTGGGGAGGGATAAGATCTTGGGGGAAGGGTCCTTGCTGAGTCTGAGGGAGGCAGTGGGGTTTCCCTTTCTGTTTTATTAGGGTCTTCAAGAAGTCAAGCCCTAACTGCAAGGTGAGTCACCTACCATGTTTATCCTTTAACCCTCCCTGGGCCCTACCAAAGCCCAGCCTGCCCCTTAACAACCTCCAACCCCTAGCTCCCCACTTCCTGTGCCAGCTAAGAGCTGACTTCCTTCCCTTCTGAAGCCCCTTGCCACAAAGGCTGCTCTGCCTGAGCCAGCCTCAGGGCTGGGTAGGGCAGGCCTGAGGTCCCTAAGCAAGACCAGAGAGGAGCCAGAAGTAAACCCTGTGCCTAGAGTATAACTCTGTTAGGAGCCTGGAGCTAGGAAAAGTTAACAGACCCTCAGATTATAGCCTGTTTATCTCAAAGCCCCTTGAGGGGACCTAGTGAGGGTAGCAGCTGCTCTCTAACTGGCTGGTCAGGCTGAGTCCTTCTTGAGGACCCAAACACACACAAACACACACACACACACACACACACACACACACACACACACCCAACACCTACCTGAAGTGAGAAAAGAGAAGGGAGCAGCTAAAAACCTAGTCTGGGAAACCCTGCCACCCTCACTTTCCAACACTACTGGGAGAAACCCATTCTTGACAGCCCAGCCTGGGGACCCTGGGGCAGAGCAGCCACTTCTGGGGGCTCTGATACCTTGTTACCATCCTCCCCAATCTTCCCTGTGACCCTGTGACATCCTCAGCTCACCGTGTACTTGGGCAAACGGGACTTTGTAGATCACCTGGACAAAGTGGATCCTGTAGGTAAGTTTGCCCAGAAACGGACAGCTCATCCCCCAAGAAGGAAGAGGGCCAAGCATAGTACACATCCATAATCCCACCACTCGTGAGGCTGAGGTAGAAGGATCACAATTTCCAGCCCAGCCTGGGCCATTTAGTGAGACTGTCTCAAAAAAAAAAAATTCCTGGAGCTATAGATCAGTGTGAAGGCCCTGGGTTTGAACCCCAGTACCTCAAGAAATAAAGAGGGAAAGAAGGTTCTGGGCCCAGGAATGGGGGTGAGGCTCCTCTAGGAAACAGGCCTATATGTCTTTTACCTAGATGGAGTGGTGCTCGTGGATCCTGACTACTTGAAGGACCGAAAAGGTACTGGCCCCAAGTCCAGGGGCCTTAGGGGAAGAAGGAAGAGGGAGAAGTGTAATAGGCTGGCATTGGAGGGGGGCCCAGAGAGATGGGAGGGCTGAGGTGGGGGCCCAGAGTTGGATTCAGGAAAGTCTTATGCTGCTGAGGAGGGAGCTGCAGCTGCCTAGGTATTGGAGGGAATCCGGGGAAGGAAGGAGTGGTCCTGACTACTCTGCCATGCCCTCCCTTGCCAGTGTTTGTGACCCTCACCTGCGCCTTTCGATATGGCCGTGAAGACCTGGATGTGCTGGGCTTGTCCTTCCGCAAAGACCTGTTCATCGCCACCTACCAGGCCTTCCCCTCAATGCCCAATCCACCCCGGCCCCTCACCCGCCTACAGGACCGGCTGCTGAGGAAGCTGGGCCAGCATGCCCACCCCTTTTTTTTCACAGTGAGGATGCCCCACACCTTCTGCAGGGGAAGGGGTCTGGGACTGTGCTGGGGTGAAGGGGGTGAGGCACCTGTTACAGGCAGATCTGGAAGGAACAGTAAAGCAGGGGCCCTAAATTCACCTCCTTTCAAGGTCACCCTGTGTTCAAGAAGCCCTAGTCTCAGCTTCCTCCCTGGGCCCCTTTTCGTTTTCCTTTCTCATCCCCAGGTGCCCTTTCTTCAACCTCATAAGTTGAGATTGGGAGGAAGATTTGGGCCTTTCTAGAAAGACTGAAGCCTCCCCTTTCCTTTGCCACAGATACCCCAGAATCTGCCCTGTTCTGTCACACTGCAGCCAGGACCGGAGGACACAGGGAAGGTACTGGAGGAAGAGCTTTGAGGGTGTGTGGGCAGAACAGGTCCATACTCATAAGAGCTGAGGGTAGAGAAATAGATATCTCTTTGTAGCCCCCATCCCCTTATGATGCAGGTGTGTGTGGTGCGGTCACTGCATGTGACACTGCCTCCTGCTCTCTTGCCTGCATGCACCTGGGTGTGGGAGCTGCCCACACATAACCATTAACAAGCCTCTGCCGGGTGCAGGCTACAAAGAGGCAGAGGGGGAAGACAGTCCCTATGTCCTTTACACCATAATGGGGCAAGATTTCCTGAACAAGAAGAGGGAAGTGAGGAGGAAGGAAGAGGGGGTGAAGGTGATGGCAGGAGCATTGGCTAAGATGTGGCCTTTCCTCCCCTTCTCAAGGCCTGCGGGGTAGACTTTGAGATTCGAGCTTTCTGTGCCAAATCACTAGAAGAGAAAAGCCACAAAAGGTATGGGACGCAGACTCCTGTATGGTTTAGCCATTTCTTCCCCGGTTCTTGGAGTCCCAAGTCCCTGTGGGAGGTGGGAGTTGGGCTTTGGTGTCTAGGGACTGACCCCTCCTCTCCAACCCCCACTCCAGGAACTCTGTGCGACTAGTGATCCGAAAGGTGCAGTTTGCACCAGAGAAACCCGGCCCACAGCCTTCAGCAGAAACTACACGCCACTTCCTCATGTCTGACCGGTCCCTGCACCTCGAGGCATCCTTGGACAAGGAGGTTAGTTCTGGAGGGTGACAAAGGTGCCACAAGGCAGGCCAGACCCTGAGGGGAGGGGGAAGCCATAGACAAAATAGCATTTTAAAGGTTGCCTCAGCTAGATGTGGCGTTGCTATGGGCTTGGGTTTAGGGATGGGGGTGTGGGGCAGAGCAACATGTCTGGCAGGGAACACACCAAGGGAGCTAGTAAAAAACATGCATTTCACATGACCCACCTCCCTTCAAAAGCTGTACTACCATGGGGAGCCCCTCAATGTCAACGTCCACGTCACCAACAACTCTGCCAAGACCGTCAAGAAGATCAGAGTCTCTGGTAGGAAGTGGGAGTGAAAGGGGGTCTTGAGGGTAGGGAGGTCCTGCAAAAGTGGCTTCTGCCGCAGTGACAGCCCAGGCCATATCCCAATATGCAAAAAATTGAGGCTGTTCCAGAATGCTGTTTACTTCAGGGAGGGGCTGGTGTCAGGGTAGGAAGTGGAGGTGTGCTTGGGATGAGACCCGTGCCATGTGGTATGGGCTTTATTTTTATTTTTATTTTTATTTTTTGTGGTACTGGGGATCGAACTCAGGACCTTGTGCTTGCGAGGCAGGCACAGTGCCACTGAGCTAAATCCCCGGCCCCTGGTATGGGCTTTATTGTGGTGGAGGTGTGGCGAGGTGATAGTCCACATTTCATCCAGAGCTGCTCGACCCCACCCCACAGTGAGACAATATGCCGACATCTGCCTCTTCAGCACGGCCCAGTACAAGTGTCCAGTGGCGCAGCTTGAACAAGAGTGAGTATCATAACAAGCCTGGGTCCTGATCTGAGGAGTGAAGAGTAGGCCCAGGGGAATAAGAGATGGCAGCCAGAGTTCTTCTTGTACCATTTCACTAAAAGTGTATTCCCTCCCCTTGTAACTTGTGCCCAAAGCAGTAGTGAGGGAGGAGATACTGCTTGGGGATGGTAGACTGCCCCATCACCCAGTTGAGCCCCTCCAAGAGTCTTGTCCCTTTGTCCCCATCTCCCAGTGACCAGGTATCTCCCAGTTCCACGTTCTGTAAGGTGTACACCATAACCCCGCTGCTCAGCGACAACCGGGAGAAGCGTGGTCTTGCTCTGGACGGGAAACTCAAACATGAGGACACCAACCTGGCTTCCAGCACCATGTGAGGGCGGGGCTGGGGATCCCAGGCCAGGAGACAGACTTCAGTTCAGGGTCGGGCTATATGCCAGCCTCTGTCCTAGGTGCCAGGGAGGTATCAATAAACAGAACAGACAAAAAAACAAAACGAAAGAAAAAAAAAAACCTTACTTTCTAGAGGAGGGGGAGAGCAGCTAATCAGATAAATGGTTAGGTACTTAGCATATTGAGGAAGAAATGTTAAAAAGGAAAAGCAGGCAGAGATCAGTACGCTGATTTTTAAATAGGGCTGTCAAGGAGGGTGAATGTTGAAGAAGGACCCAGAGGAAGGAGGCAGCGTGGATAGGCAGAAAAGAGGGTGTCATTAGGGAGAACTGTAAGGCAGAGACTTGGAGGTGGAATGGGCCCAGTGTCTGAGAATAGCAAGGTGCTACTGTGCCCTTGGGCAGGAGCAGCCACAAAGGTTCAGAGTCACGAAGGGGTAGATCTCACCTCAGCTGGTGTCCCAGCACTGGGTACACATATACAACCACACACAGCCAGCCCGGAGACCAACATGGTAAGAAGAAACCACAAGGAGGAGTAGGAGGCAAAGCAGTACATGCAGAGCTGTCAGGTCAGATGAGATGCCCAGGAGAGTTCTGAGCAGGGGAAAGCCTTGGTGTAGTTTACCACCATGATTCCTTAGCTGATGCTGCTGGAGCGCTAGAGACTAGTGTGAGTTTGCAGTTCTACCCAGAATCCTGACAAGACCCCCAAGGCAGGCTCAGTGACAGGGCAATGGACCCTGATCCAGCTTCCCTTCCCCCAAACCCCAATTGCAGCGTGAAGGAGGGGGCCAACAAGGAGGTGCTGGGAATCCTAGTGTCCTACAGGGTCAAGGTGAAGCTGGTGGTGTCTCGAGGCGGGTGAGTAATAGGGGAGCTTGGTGGGGGTTACAGTGGTTCTCTCTGGCTCTACCTCATCAGTGGCATCCTCTCTCTGTGACCTCTCCCCCCCCCCAGGGATGTCTCCGTAGAGCTGCCTTTTGTTCTTATGCATCCCAAGCCCCATGACCACATCCCCCTTCCCAGACCACAGACAGGTAAGCACTGCACCCACCCCAGTACCCTGCAGGGAGGGCTTGAGGCAGGGCCTGTGGAGAAACACTGGTCCATCCAGCACCCACCTTCCCTTCCCCTCGGCTCCCCTCAGCCGCTCCAGAAACAGATGTCCCTGTGGATACCAACCTCATCGAATTTGATACCAAGTAAGAAAATCATTCCCCTACCTTCCTACTTTGACCCTCTTTTGATAAAGAGATTCCCATGACATTCAAATGGTTTTGTTTTGGTTTTATTTTCTTTTTGGCAGGGAGGATAAAGTATCAAACTAGATGACTTAGCTTTATGAGGCTATTACTGCCCCTTCTTTGTCCCTGGGTGGGGTGAGGGGTAGAGTGGGAGGCCAAAAGAAGACAAAAACCCTTACCTCATCCCTCTCCTTTCCACTACCAAGCTATGCCACAGATGACGACATTGTGTTTGAAGACTTTGCCCGACTTCGGCTAAAGGGGATGAAGGATGATGACTATGATGACCAGTTCTGCTAGGAAGGGGGGCTGGAAGAAGGGAGTGGATGGTGCTTGGAGAGGTAGGGGCAGGACCGAGATCCCCACTGTTGCTGGAGACAGGCGGGTATCCCAGCCTTTCTTTCTTCCCCTCCGTCTGGCAGCCAAGCCCTTCACTCCCTCTTCCTCATCACCCCCAGCAAGATACGCACTGGACCCTTTGCCTGTTGAAAGTGGGCATTAATCTTTTGACTGCAGCTGTGCAGCCCTCTGGTGGGTAGTAAGCTGTGCTCAGACCTAAGTTTTTTGGAAGGGAACACTGAAAACGAGGAATGATAGTAGGGAAAGGGGGAGAAAACTGGCGCATTCAGCCTCACAGGAACACACTCCTCCAGTCACTGTCTCCACCTCCCATTCCTTCAAGATAACATCCTGTGGGGGCAAGGCCGTTTCTTTGTTTTTGAGCATAAAGAAGAAAATAAACCTTTTAATAGGCATGAGTGCATGTGTTTTCTCTGTAGCATTTAAAGTGTGTGTAGTATGCTCTTCCATGATACTTTTCTGCGCCCACAGGGCACCCGACACACAGGCTATTGATAAATGTTTATTGAATGACTATGCTGTGCCTGTGTTCCAGAGTAAACACTGAACCTTGATTTGGTCAGTCTACAGTCAGTGTACAGCTTGATAAAGACATAAAGTAAACTTAGTCATTTAACTTCCCTACAGTCTAGATGCTCCTGGGAGCTGGGTAGGCTATGCTCTTCCCTATTGTGGCTCATAACACATGACCTCATTGTCACCTGTTGTGACCAAATTGGGTTCATTTCCACTGTTTCTTATGGTTGCTCAAGCAGCCCACTTCTGGGGCTCAATGGGACCGCGTCTGCATGCCTCACCAGACAGAAGCCACACAAGGGACATCTTCATGGTGTCAGTACTTCCTTTCTAACACAGAAGCTCAGGCTTTAGGTACCCAGCAGCCCCAAGTCCTTCCTAGAAGCTCTGTCTTAGTCCTGCTACTGTGACATGCATGGGGGAACTCCTCAAGGGTTCCCCAAAGCGCCAGCCTGGGCTGGAGGGAGTTACCAACACTCCACAGACATTTCTCACCTCCGTCATCCACTGCTATACCAGTAGCTTACCTTTCTATTTTTTGCTTAAACCTCTTTCATCCATTCTTTTTTTTCCTTCTATTCATTCTTGATTTGAGTTCCTTCTATGTACTAGGTATAGTATAGGGCCATAGCAAAAGAACCAAAATGAACAATCATTCTCTAGTTATAATAACTGTCCCAAGGAAAAGTACAGGGGCTATGAAAACGCGTGACAGAAAGTCTGACCTAGGCTGGGGCATGGAGATGATTTCCGAGAGGAAGTAACTAAGCAGAGAACTGAAAGATGAAGATTTAGGAGATCACAGGGATAAGGACGAGCCTTCTGGATCTCAGCAACCCAGTGTGTTAAGACTAGAAGGAACTACATTTGGGGACACAGACCAGGGACTGGGAAAGATACCAGGGGTCCTAAAGAGGCTGGTAAGGGAGACAGGGAAAGCTCACATGGGCTCTCAGCCTATGTTAATCATCATTTATTCACAGGCTTTAAGCACTGCCAAAATGCCAGTGACCTTGTGGGAGCAGCTCACCCTACCCATTCTGGATTTGTCATGTGGGAGAACTACCCCCTCTAAAACCCACATGTCATCCCAGCAATCAGGAGGCTAAGGCAGGAAGGTTGCCACAAGTTTGAGGCCAGCCTGGGCTACAGAGTGAGTTCAAGACCAGCCTGAACTACAAAGTAAGACCCTGTCTCAAGCAAGCAATCAATCAATCAAATAAAACCTAGGGCTCCAGCACCTCCCTGAATCCCATGACCTCAAGCCCATGGATCTTAAACTTCAAGTAAATCTGAATCCACTGGGAGGCACAATAAAGATCCAGTTTCTGAGTCAGGAGGTTCCACGAAGTATCCATGAACCTGTTTAACACACCCTTTGAAAACAATGCCTTTTCAAAAACTCATATGTCTTTAATGAATTTTAGAAGGTAATACATGTACATGGTTTCTTTAAAAACCGAAACAGTATAAAACAGTAAACAATGAAAAGAAGGTCTCCTACCCCATTCCCCACCCTTTCATTTCTCTTTCCCAGAGACAAGCACTATCACCAGTGCCTTAATGACCCTTCATATCCACACATACAGGCTTATGTATTCACTCTTTTATCTTAAATACAGAGGACAGCATATTATGAACTCTTCTACACCTTTTTTTTTTTTTAATTTAATAGTGTTTCTAGAAGTAGGCAGGTGTGGTGGCACATGCCTGTGATCCTAGCACTCATGGGCCAGGGATTCAGCTCAGTGGTTCCGCCTGCCTCTCAAGCCCAAGGACCAGAGTTCGATCCCCAATACCAAAAAAAAAAAAATTGTGCATCCTAGCACTCAGGAGGCTGAAGCAGAAGGATCTCCATGAGTTCAGAGGCCAGCCTGGACTACATAGAGAGTTCAAGGCCAGCCTAAACTACATAGCAAGACCCTATCTCAAAAGACAAGACAAAAGTATCTAGAAGGGCATTCCCTAAGCAATACATATAGATCCACTTTATTCCTTTTATTTTTCTTCTTTTTTTGGTACTGGGGATTGAACCCAGGGCTACTTCATGAATACTGGGCAAGCACTCTACCACTGAGCTACATCTGCATTCCTTTGAAAATTTTTATTTCTACTTGTACTAATAACAATTTTTAATTTTTTAAACATATTTTGAAGTAAGTTGTCCAGGCTGATCTTGCACTGTCAATCCTCCTGCCTCAGCCTCCCAAGTAGCTGGGATTACATAGGCTTGTGTCACCATGCTCAGCTCCAGTTCATTCATTTAAAGAACAGCCTTCCATTGCCTAGATGTCTTTTTTTGGGGGGGGGGGTTACCAGGGATTGAACTCAGGACCTTGTACTTGCCAGGTAGGCAGGGCGCACTGAGCTACATTCCCAGCCCATAGATGTCATTTATTTTTAACAGTCTCCTACTAAAGGACATGCTAAATGTCTATTTTGCTAATTCAAACAATATTACAATAATTACCCTTGGAGATATGTCTTTTGCATATGTAAAGTGTGCCTATAGGACAAATTCATAAAAGCAGCATTGCTGGATCAAAGAAGGTGAGCATCTCTTTTTGATCATTGTCAATCAAACCAGTAAGATAATGCTATTACCCAAGTGGTTTTTTTTCTTTTTTCTTTGTTTTTTGTATTTTGAGATAGTCTCACCATGTACTTCAGGCTGGTCTTGAACTCACTATATAGCCCAGGCTGACCTCAAATCTGTGGCACTTCCCTACCTTGTCTTAGCTTCCTAAGTGCTGGGATTACAATTACCCAAGTTTTAATTTGCATTTCTTATGACCAAGTGTGGTTGCACCTGTCTGTAATCCCAGCAGGCTGAAGTTGGAGAAATGCAAATTTAAGTCCAGCTTACACAATTCTGGAGCTTAGTGAGACCTTGTCTCAAAATAAAAAATAAATGGCTGGAAACAGTTCAGCACAAAGGCCTTGGGTTCAATCTTCAGTACCCCCCCCAAAAAAGCATTTTATTCACTGTAAGTGAAGATGAAGCCAATTTACTTACTGAGTTGATGTTCTTTTTTCTCTTAGTCTATGTCTGCATTACATAATCACTACATGCATTGTGCAGAGTTGATACATGTACAAGACACATCTTAATTCTTTTTACACCCTCTTCCCTGCTCACCTCCGTCCCTCCATCTCTTGGCCCCCTTCCTATTTGCAAAAGATCTATCTGTGTTTCCTCTTGTCTATCTTTTATTTTGCTCTTTATTTGTACTTTGGATTTCTCATATAAGAGAAACCACACAATATTTATGTGTGTTCAATGCAATCTTTGTTAATTTTGTGTTACTGGGGATTGAACCTCTGGCCTTTACACTGAGCTACATCCCCAGCACCATTCATTCATTCATTCATTCATTCATTCATTTATTTGAGACAGGATCATGCTAGGTTGATAAATTGCCCAGGCTGGCTTCAAACTTGCAATCCTGCCTCAGCCTCTCAAGAGTTCTGGGAAACAGGCATGAGTCACCATACCTGGCTCAATGTACCCTTAAGAGCTCCTCATGTATTAAAGAAATTGGCCCAAAGTAGTATACTTTGCAAATATTTTTCCCAGTTTGTCATATCTTTTGCATTTCTTAGCACAAATTATTTTAAGGTACACAATTCAATAACATTTAATACATTCACAGTGTTGTGCAACCATCATCTTTATTCAGTTCCAAAACATTTTGTTTCTACTATATTTAATAATGTATACATTTTTAATTTTTAAGGTAATCCGTTAAAACCACTTTTTAAATTTTGGTTCGTAGTTTTTTATCACAAAGAAAATTCTTGGCCCTTGTTTTCTCTCAGTTTGACACTTCCTTCTTTCCAGCCTACACTTCAAGATTATCATATCAACCACTATCTCAGCAGCACACTCATCTCTCCTTTCACATCACATGCTCTCAAGCCCCAATCCTTGATTCTGTTTCCCACCCCTTTGTTCGAACAAGGAGACTGATGCACACTAAAAAGCACACAACCATACTTGTTCATTCAACAAATATTTTTTAACACATTCTAGGTGCCCCAGGTATGGATTTGAGGCCACTGAAAGTGTATGGTCTCCAAACAAAATGGGGGCTGGGCCAGATATGGTGGCTCACACCTGTAATCCCAGCACTCAGGTGGCTGAAGCAGGAGGATCACTTGGAGTTGGAGGCCAGCCTGGACTATATAGCAAGATCCTGTCTCAAAAAAATAAAACAAAATAAGTCAGGCCCTCAATACCTGCAACCTTTTGACCCATTCATGTCCCTAGTCACCTCCATATCCTGCTCCCAGCCTACTAATTTTCCACCCTCCTCATGCTTATAGTGACTTCTGCTTTTTACAGAGAGTAGGGGTTGGGAGATGAATGATTTCAGCCTCTCACCTCCTACTGACTAACACTGACATCTACACCAATTCTCCTACACCACTGCCAAAGTTAACATGCTTCTCCAGTTCAAAGCTAATCCCTCCACCTGTGCTCACAGCTTTCCCCTCCCACCTCCTCCGAGACCTTGATTCATCAAACCACCCCCTTCTCTTCAACCTGGCTCTTCCTCCATGGTAAATAAACCCACACAAGTGTCTTCCAAGAGAAGAAAGAAAAGAGAAAGGAAGGAAAACAAAAGAAAAAACTCTGCTCCACTTTTAGGCTCCTCTCACAGTAAAGTACATCTCCATTTATTTCCTATCTCAATTTTCATTATTTTTACTTTTTATTTTCAAAGTACAATAATATACAATGGACCCTCAACCAACTTGAGTTACAACCAGCCCTCAGGAACGGATTGAGTTCGTAAGTCAAGGGTGGGTCCACTGTATATCCCGTTTGAGGAGTCAGTACTGCATGGTCCATTACCATAAAAGTAGGCACCTCCCTTCTCCAATTTCTTTCTCCTCAGAGACAATTACTTTCATGTTCTTCAGATGTTTCTGTTGGCACTTACTGCCACATCTCTAAGTATGTTTATTTTGCTCCTTGATTTTTGTTTTCAGTATCATCAACTGGCTTCCCACTGCAGAAGGTGAAGATTGGGGCCCTCTTCATCCCTCTGATCACCACAGAATACTTTCCATCCTGCCCCCATCCTCTATTCTCCCAAGAGAATTATATCAATTGGAGTTATAGCAATATTCAGTATTTAATTATGCCCATGAAAAGAATGTTTCTAGTTGCCTCATGTGGTATATTATGATTACCTTTCTCATCTTAAGACAACTTTGTTTTTCCTGAATAGCTGTAATTTTTAAATTTTCTTATTCTCTGAATTGATCACTAATTTAGCCCATACTCTTCTAAAAGCCTATATATCCTCTCAAATCATTTGAAACAAAACAATGTTCATCACTGAGCTAGGCATAGTGGCGCATGCCTGTAATCCCAGCACTCAGGAGGCTGAGGCAGGAGGAGTCCCTCAAGTTCAAGGCCAGCCTGGGCTACATAGTGAGACCCTGTCTCAAAAAAAAAAAAAAAAACCCCCCTCAAAAAAAAACAACATTCCATCTTTTTCAGCTCCTTCAAGAAATCTGTCCAGATCCTTCTAATGGACTGAACATTCTTTGCACCTGCTACCCTAAGATTCCTTTAGCCACAGCCTTGGGGTTCCAGTTACCTTTCATGAGTTAAGGTCTTAAGTTCCTGGATCCAATATCTTCCTCTTCTGGTCTAACTAATAACCTCCTGAGAAAGAGTACCCATAGGAAAAAAATCTTAAGAAGTTGTGCATATCAAAATGTCTTTATTCCGCCTTCATAATTCAGAGTTTGGCTTTGGGAGATTTTTGATACAGTATCTCCTAAAATCTACTCTTCCATGGTGACAGAACAATAGTTGTCCACCTAGGAAGGGACTAGATATCCCAGAACCCGAGTAGATGAGACCAAAAGATCAAGTTTCCTTCAATGGAATGTGAGTAGAAATGATATAAGCTACTTCCTAGGCAGAACCCCAAGACAGGCCTGCCTCTTCCACATTTCCTCTTCCTCCTTTCTGTCAGCTGCAACCCCAGGATGGCAGTAACTCAGTTTTGACAATACAAACAATGCCCTACAGCAGTGGTTCTCAAATGTACTGTACATACAAATCACCTGCAGATCTTAAAACATAAACACTAACTCAGTAGGCAGTGGGGGGGTGGGGGGTGGGAACTGAGATTCTGCATTTCTAACCAGTTTTTCATTAATGTCATGCTACTGAACTGCAGACCACACTTTTGAGTATAAGCCCCTAAAGGACGGCACAGCTGTACTGCAAGTTTTGGTCACTGTATAATTTGTGGAGCACAGTGAACAACCCACACTGAACTATTTTACAAGAAAAAATTAAGTTTCCCAAGAACAATGGAATCATTGCATTTTTAGCCTTTACCTTAACACAGCTGGAGTATGGAATTCTGAATTAGAAACCATTTCCCTGAAAATATGAAAGGCATTGCATTACTCCACCATCTTCTAGCATGGAGTGTTACTATTAAGAGCCCCAGCACCATTCTGATTATATGATATCTGTTTTTTCTCTGGAAGATTGTAAGACATTTTTCTCTAAGCCTAGTGTTCTAATGTAGGGTCCATTTTTCTCTATTATGCTGGGCATTTAATAGGCCCTTTTAATCTGGAAGCACAAGTGTCCTTTTCCCCCTTCATATTCTCCGTGATCTCTCCTAGAACATAAGCCCCCAGATTGATTTTCTTTTCTATATGTCTCTTCGTTTGCTAGGGAAGTCTCTCAATGTCTCTTTCAATACATGATAGATTTTTCCATTCCTTCTCCCATGGTTTGACTGTACAAGTACGTTTTCTTGGCTTTTTCCCCCCAAGGGGATACACCATTCCTGAAGTTACTACCATACCAGGTCAATGTGTGGACGTGACAAGCTCCTATTCCATCTCCTATTTCCAAAACTCCATTTAATATATTGTTCTTGAATGGAGAATGTATCAGATATTAACTGATAAGAACAGATACTGCACGTGATCTTAGCTGACACTCCAAGAAGACTTTTCTTTTTTTTTTTTTTAAATAAAAGGCAGGGTCTTGCTATGTTGCCCAGGCTAGCCCCAAACTCCTGAACTCAAGCAATCCTCCTGCCTCAGCCTCCTGAGTAGCAGGAACTATAGGGGTTTTTTTAATAGTATCTTTTATCTAGGCATTCCAAAAGTTGTTCTCCCCACCCCTCATGTATTTAGTCTCTTTCATGTTAGAAAATTTCTTCAAAGATTTAGAAATCCTTTGTTGTCTGTTTATACTTAAGAGTGAGGTAGTTCAGTGGTACACCACTGGGTTCCATCCCCAGCACTACCACCCAAAAAAAGAGGTGCTAAGAAGTTGACTAGCAGTTCCACGCACACAGATCAGATTTACCCACTATGAGTTTCACTATGGTGTGATCTGGCCATATGCTGCAGTGAAGAGCCCTGATGTTAATTAGGTCTTTTCTCTAAGCAAACTTTGCAGAGTGTCTTGTAGGCTCCAACCTGGAAAGCATAAGCCTGCTTGTCAGGGTTGTGGAAACTAGTATTAGTTTATAAACTTTCATTTAATCTGTTTTCAATGCAGTACTTTGTTTTTCTTTTTTTTTTTGAGACAGGGTCTCACTATATAGTCCAGGCTGGCTTTGACCTCACTATGTAGCCCAGGCTGGCCTCAAACTCGCAGTGGTCCTCCTGCCTCAGCTTCCTGAGTGCTAGAATTACAAGCGTATACTACCATGCCTGGCTCAACAGTCTTTCATTCAACTGTGCACAGGTGTCCTCCAAGCTAAAAACCTTTTCCTTCTCCAACAAAGAAATTCCCAGCATTCTAATAAATTGGGGGGGAAGAATAATTCCCCAGATATATGAAGTCAAGGAGGAGATCTGGCAGTCTTCTTCAAATAACCCTCATAATTTTAGTACCCCTTTGCCCAAGTTGTATGTGATACCATTAACTTAAGGGTAAATCAGTTTGCTTTCTAAGCTTTCTTAAATTACTATTTAGCCTCTTGTCTCAAGCTTCTACCTAAAGTCTTCCTATTAACTCCTCACTCTTTTAAGTATTTTTCTTTTTTTTGTTGTTCTTTCAGTACTAGGAATTGAACCTAGGGCCTCACCCATGCTAGCCAAGCATTCTTATCACTAAGCTATATCCCATGTTTTTTAGTTTTTATTTTGTCCACAGTAACCTCTAAATTGTGATCCTCCTGCCTCAGCCTCCCAAGTACCTGGGATTACAGCCTTGGGCCCTGGTTTATAGACTGTCAAGGGAGATCTTTCCAGCTACGAATGGTGGCACACACCTGTAATTTTAGCACTTTGGGAAACTGAGGCAGGAGGATCCTAAGTTTGAGCACATCCTGGGCAATTTATCAACTTAGTGAGATCCTGTCTCAAAATAAATGTTCTTGTTTTGTTTCATTTTGTTTACTAACAGGGTCTTGCTATGTAGTTCAGGCTAGACTTGAACTCGTTATTAGTCCAGGCTGGCCTAGAATTCATGGTGATCCTCCTGCCTCAGCTTCCTAAGTGCTGGGGTTACAGGAGAGAGCTCAGCTCTCAAAAAATTAAAGGGCCTGGGGATGTAGTTCAGTGCAAAGGTCCTAGGTTCAATTCCAAGTATGGGGGAGGGAAGTGATCTTTCCAAAAAAAAGTAAATCTGGTTGTAACACACTTGCTGAAAATGCTTCAAAGGCCCCAAGAGGTCTTCAGTATAAAGTCCAAAGTACTTAGCCTTTTCCTGATCCAGCTCCCCCCTCAACTTCACCACTGTTACATCTAACAAGCACCACACTCCATTCACTCCACTTGAACTGAACCCCTGCAGGACTCCAAATGTGCCAGTCCCCCTCATAGCACCTTGTTCTTGTCTATGCTGTTTCCTTCTACCCCAACCTCTCATCCATCTAGTTAGCCATTTAGGAGTCTGTTCAAGAAGAACTTCCTCCGAGAATCTTTTCTCAGTGGTCCATACACCCTGGCCAGGTCTCTACCAAAACATCTATTCCACTGTCACATGAATCTCCATCTCATTCATCTTTATATTCCCCAGACTCTGCACATAATAGGTAAGCAGAAAAGGAAAGGGGCGGGCTGGGGATTCAGCTCAGTGGTTGTGCCGCCTGCCTCACAAGGACCCGAGTTTGATCCCCGGTACCAAAAAAGAAGAAAGAAAAGAAAAAAGAAAGAAAAGAAAAGGAAAGGGGGGGAAGGTTTGAAGGAACCAGCAACCACGAACATATCGATAGTCTGTGTTCCAGTTAGGCTCAAAGTCTTGGAGAACCCTAGGGAGAATAATGTTAACACTCACCAAGCCAAGCTTTCCTCGGGCAAGGTTGGCAGATAAAGGGCCCATGGCTATTCAGTCTGGAAGACTACCCTAGGACTCCCACCATCACCACCTAGCACCCAGCTGACACTTACTATTTAATTCTTGGACTGGGGATTTAGCTCAGTGGTTCTGGCGCCTGCCGCGCAAAGACCCAAGTTCGATCCCCGGTACCAAAAAAAAAAATTGAATAAATTAAATACAGTTCACAAGACAGTGCCTTGAAGGTGAACAGGTCTGAAAGGCCTCAGGACAGGAGCAATATCGCCTCTTACCCAAGATGGTCGCTTGGTGGCGGCGCAGAGGCCAACGCACGACTTCTTGGAAGTTGTAGTTCTCCGTGGGGGGCGGGGGGGGGGGGAAGGACCCAAGAAGGGCGAGAAAGGACCCAAGAAGGGCGAGGTTGCGCTGGGCATCCTGGGAGTTGTAGTGTACACTAGAAAGTACCCTTCACGCAGCCGCAAACTGACAGCCACTTCCGGGCTCCGCCTCTCATTCTTCAGGAGAAAATCTTTTGGAGTTTCCCAGAGGGACAATGGCTACCTACAGCCTGGCGAATGAGCGATTACGCGCCCTGGAAGACATTGAAAGGGAAATCGGCGCCATCCTCCAGAATGCAGGTTCGGGATGCGACGAGCTAACTATTGGAAGCAAAAACCGAGCCCGAGCGGTGCGCATCTGCGCTTACCCGAGACGCCTGGAGGGGTTGGGCGGGGCCTTAAGTGCAAGCGCTCCAAAAGATGGGCTGGGAGCGGTTGGCCTTTGGGCGAGGCTTACTGCCAGTCTTTAGGTAACCCCGCCCTCTCTCCTCCCGGGCAGGGACTGTGATCCTAGAACTATCCAAGGAAAAAACCAATGAGCGGCTCCTAGACCGGCAGGCGGCGGCCTTCACCGCTTCAGTGCAGCATGTGGAGGCGGAGCTCTCGGCTCAGATCCGTTACCTCACTCAGGTAAGTGTATCTGGGAGACGCTGCAGGCCCACCCTAGTTCTTCATCTTAGCCATACGGGGTAACTTCCGACCCCCTGCGGAGTATTAACTGACAAGATCAGATCAAGCCTTCCAACTTGGCACCATCTCGACCTCATGCATGGACTCTTTCCTTCCAGGGCTGGTTTCTTCTGCTAAAAGGAAAAAAATTAAATGTGGCCCTACCGGGAGGGGAGAAGACTTAGGAAGAGGAATGGGATAAAATAAAATTTAATAAAATAAAAATAGAATAAATGTGGCCCTACCTACCTTGGTATTATCACCTGAGGCACTGGATGGGGGAGTGCCTGAGAGGTGGCATGTAAGCAATATTGAAGCCACAAACTTGGGCTGACCTCCAGGCATGAGGCCTCAGATGCTTACATCTGGAAAAAGGAGACAGAATCAAGGCGGCTACAGCCGGGGATTTAGCTCGGTGGTTCTGGCGCCTGCCTCACAAGCACAAGGTCCCAAGTTCGATCCCCGGTACCAGAAAAAAAAAAGTGAAGCCAGGGATTTAGCTCAGTGGTTTCGCTGCCTGCTCTGCAAGTGCAAGGACCCGAGTTCGATCCCCGGTACCAAAAAAAAAAAAAAAAAGAATGTGCTTGCTTTGGCAGCACATATACTAAAAAAGAAGGCTCCAAAGTCCTTACTTATGACAGCTACCACTATTTACCAAAGTTTACTGTGTGCTGAGCACTCTGTATTATCGTATCTAATCCTACAACTCTAGGAAATAGTTATTGTCATCCCCGTTTCACCAATGAGGTTAACAACCAGGCAGCTTAATAGATCAAACTGAGGGAAGAAATAACACAAGAGACCTGATGCTGGTTGGGCATGGGTAAGGGAGACAGTGCTCCACTGATCAGTCTATCTGTCCCGTAGGTGGCCACAGGGCAGCCCCATGAGGGCTCCAGCTACTCTTCAAGGAAGGACTGTCAAATGGCTCTGAAGCGAGTGGACTATGCCCGCCTGAAGCTAAGTGATGTGGCCCGAACCTGTGAGCAGATGCTGGAGAGCTAAGCCAAGGAAGTGGATCCAGAGTGTGGTGGGAGACCCTGACCTGTACGCTGGGACAGAAACCAGAGGCCTGTCGGGTAGGGTACCTGGACTGACACATACATCAGGGTCAACTTGAACAAAGAGGCAGAAGGTGGAAATGGAGAAACTAAAATCAAAGCCTGCCCACAGCTGTGCCCTGGCTCCTCCACGGTGCTCCTGCTATACACTTCACAAACTGCTATGCACCTCACAAACTCAGGAGCTGGAGATTCAGCCACCCAGCCCACTTCTTTATGACCATCATCAGCCCCAACACATACCCTGCCCTGTCTTGGGCTTCCCAGAAACTTGGCCCATTGAAGGTACATTCTTCCTTATTGAAACAGCCAAAACATAAACTAAGATTCTTAATTAAAAAAAGCAATAACAATTTTTAAAACTCAGACTCTGGAGTATATGTGAGTGATGCAAGAGATTAAGAAAAGAAGCCCAGCCTGTATATCAACATAACAGCCACTCAGAAGGGAGGATGGGAAAGCCCAGGTCTTGAGTGTGGGACTGGAAAGAACAGCTGGTGCAGTGTGAAGGATGACTTGTGAGCAAAGAGAGCCATCAGTCTGAAATCCTTCAGCAGAGAAGCTGAAGTCAGGAGTCATCATGAGGCAGCAAGGGCCTGGAGCCAATGTCTGTAGAAAGAAAAGTCAGTAATTCTACAAGTAACATTTAATAGTTTTTTTAAAAACCACAGAATGTCCAACCCATTATGATGCAGTATAAAAGTCATATTTTGTTTTTCATGTATTTATTTTTTCCAGGGCTAGGGATTGAACTCATTCATGCTAGGCAAGTACTGTATCACTAAGCTACAACCCCAGGCCCCAGATTTTATAGTATTGCATATTTTTAAAACAGGAGGCTAAGAGAGCAGTTAGTAATATATTAAATTTGTCAATTGCCTAAAATATCAGAAATTATATTAATTATGTGAAGTACTTATAAAGCAGTCCATGCTCCCAAGCTCCCATTCTTGCCTCAGGATTTGGAATCTGGTGTTGAAGGTGTGTGTTGATAAAGCTGTAGATCTGAAAAGGATAAAGAAATTGAGAGATGAGTTCTGAGATCAAGTGGAGTTTGGGGAGGAGTGGTAGCTTAAGTGGGAAATCAGACTTCCAGATATTAACCCTAGGACTTTGTACACAGTAAATGTTTTTGAGTTGAATGAATGGTCCTTTCCTTTCTCCACAGCTTTATCTCCTGCTAGCCTGGTCTAGCTTCACCTTGCTCCAAACACTACCAGGCTTTAAAGTCCAAGCACTGGACCTGGACTCATAGTACCTTTCCTCCCTCTCCACTCACTCATCTCTGGCTGACTCTTATAGGCAGCTTATAGCCCACAGTACAAAAGCTTTAAATTTTGTGTGATGGGTCAGGTTTCTAGCTATCTGAGAACTACAGGGAGCAGTATCCCTTCAAGGAAAGCTCTGGATCCCTGGGCAAAAGGTTACCTGGCATCATAGTTACTTTTCTCACTGCTGAGACAAAATACTCAACACTCCAAGAAAGATTTATTTAGGGCCAGGATTTAGCTCAGTGGTTCCAGCGCCCGCTGCGCAAGCGCAAGTTCGAGTTCAATCCCCAGTACCAAAAAGAACAAGAAAGATTTATTTCATCATCACAGAAGATAAAACAGTCCATGGCAAAGAGCCAGAAGGCAGCCAGCAGTGAAGTAGCAAGCAGCAAGCAAAAAGCAGCAACCATATCTGTTGTCTTCTGCAAGTCTGCTCCCAGACCTAGGTTTGGGAGCCCGGACCGGCAGGGTAAGGCGCAGAGTCACCAGCCGACTCTGGGGAGATTTCAGGAACGCTTCTGCTTTATTGAGGAACTACACAAGCTTATATAGCGAAATAAAAGGGCGATTACATACGTGGGGTTATAACAGCTTTAGCCTTGGCATAATTTGATTGGATGGAAAGGGATATAATTATACACAATGGAGAACATATGACATCCTCTTATTAGTTAAATTTATTTTAAACTGTATGGGGTGATTGTCTGGGCGAGGGGAAGGAGTCATGACCCAAAGAGTGAGGAGGTATGCTCGACTTGATCTAGTTTCTACACAGTGGAGTGAGCTTGCTCAACTCTGTTTTTTGTCTCTGAGCATGCTCAAGAGCGGAGTGCGGCATACTTGACCCAACCAGACCTGAACTTCTTCACATATCAACCCTCCTTCTGTTTCTTATATCCTATCCAGGGCAGGAAGCTCTCACAGCCAGTTGGAGTACCCATAATCCAAGTATCACACCACAAATCGAGCCCAACATTACACCCTTGATCTCAGTGTCACACACCCCAGATCCAGCCACCTCCAGAAAGCCCCACCTATGACTGCATGAGGTTTTGGGGGGACATCTAGACACAAGCCGTAACACCTGGAGAGTACTGCACTGGCTGCTTCCTCTTGCACCACATGTAGAGGATGACTCCAGTGAGGAAGAAAACAATGAACAGGAGGGACAGTACTGGCACCACAGCTGATGTTCCACTAGTAGCACCTGCTTTTTCTTCCAACTGTTTCTGGTTCTCTTTAGCCTCATGTTCAACTCCCAGACTGTAGCCCGAAAGGGAAGTGGTGGTTTCCTTGAGGCTGATGGGCTCTTTCTCTAAGGACAGTGTTCCCAGCAGAAGGGTAGGCTTCTCAGTAAATGACAAGGAGGATGATGGGTACTTCTGGGCATGAGTTCTGTCTGGAGGTGCCGCTTCTGTGGCCCTAGAAATCAGGGTGCCAGGGGAAGACAAATGCTTCTGGTGGACCAGATTCTCCCAATAAGCACGTCCACACTCTGGAGAAGAAAGAAATGAAGAACCAGGGTTATTAGGGAACAGGTAAAGAAGCAGACAGAGATCTAAGTGAGGAAAAGTGAAATGGGAAGAAAATGTTCCAATGAGAAGGGAAACATGGGAGGGAGGAGGGGGAAAGGAAAGGAGACGAAAAAAAATGGAAACAAAGCTTTTGTACATAAGGGAGGGGGGAGGGGGAAAAAAAGAAAGCAAAATATATCATGTACTGATACAAATTCCCTAAGATGAATGTTATTGTGTATATCTAAAATGTACCAATAAATGTTTTGCTTTAATCCTTTAGATGTTTTCCTCATCTATCACAAGTTCATGGCTGACACCCATATAACAAAAAAGTTAAGAAAAAAGCATAACAAATGTATTTGATCAAAATTTCACAGGACATGGGAACCTTCAGAAAGAAGATCCAGGGAAAACTGTTTTTGTGCTTAGAATTGATGAAAAATGGACAGCAGTAGAACCCGGTATGGAATTGAGCAGGCACAGGATGCAGCCAGTGTGCCGAATGAAAGGGTGTTCTGAATGAGTGGAGGGAGAGTCAGGAGGCTTGGGTTGGACCCTTAGCTGTGCTACAAAATAACTGTGAGACCTTGGCCCTCATGTCTGACCTCTATGGGTCTTATTTCTTCCAGCTGTCCAGTGATGATAATCATAGTACTAAGCACCAAGGTACTGTAGCTGGGAGGATTAAAGGAAATAACAGATCAATGTAACACGAAAGGCAGTATGGGCACCACTGACTTACACAAGACAACGTTAGGTAGGATGTTGAAGAACACTTTCTATTTTAATGGCTGTGTATTTATTTCAAGAGAAAATACAACTTGCTCAAGTCACAAATTTGACTTCACAGATATTAAGACAAGTTGTAAATAATTTTGCAAAATTGGCTTGTGTACACTTAAGATTTGCTCATTTCATTGTATGTAGATTTTGCTTCAAAAGAAAAAAATAAAATATTGAATTCTATTTAACATCCATGGTGAAATGTTCTGGGATGAAATATAAGAATCTCTGCAACTTATATTGAAACATATCAAAATAATGGTGCACTGATGAAGGCTATAGATGTGTAATCAATTACAGATTGGTAATTGGTGGTAAAATATGATTGTTCATTGTACAATTTTCTTCTAATGTCTAATTTTCATAAATATTGGAAAGTAAAAATGGTGCCTTCAGGTGATTTCAAGAAAAACTTAATAGAGCCAGGTGTGGTGCCACATGCCTGCAATCCCAGCACTCGGGAGGCTGAGGCAGGAGGATTGCTGAGAGTTTGAGGCCAGCCTGGGCCACACAGTGAGTTCAAGGCCAGCCTGAGCTACATAGCAGGACCCTGTCTCAAAAAAAAAACTAAAGATTATATTCTATATAAAATATGTATCTTAATAAAGACATGATGGTACATGCCTGTAATCCCAGCACTCTGGGAGGCTAGCATGTATATGTATATACAATATGTCACATGTCAGAATAAACTGACACAAATCATGAAAGTAAATGGTAAATGATGTTTGGTAGACAGGGACTTAAGTAAAAGTACTTTGGCTGACATCAGAAGGTTCTAGGAATACGGGGTGTCGAGGCAAAGGAGATTGCAAAATGGAAGCTGCTGTAGTCCGGGGGTCAGGCCTGAGGAGAGGAAAAGCTCTCACCTCTGCGATCAAAGCAGCTCATCAACTCAAGAACCCACTGGTCTCCTCTGTCCCCGCACACACTCCGAGAATGAAGCTGGAACCTGTAAGGGGGAAACCGGGTCTCAGCTACACCTCCAGCTTCCCTTCCCCAGCTTTTCTCACTCTGAAGGGGTGAAGTCACTCCAAGCAAGTCATTTGTGCTCGAACTGGGAAATTCCCAGGTAAGTGAAACAGAAAACAGACTGTGAGGACCCAGAGAACGGGGAGAGCCGGCCAGGTCCACCCGGAGAGAGTGCAAGGCGCTGGAGGAGCTAGCACTCCTGGGATGGAGAAGATTACCTGACGTACACTCCACAGTGATTGTAGGCTTTCGTGTGTCTTCGGAGAGGTTCCATGAACTCCTTCTGGGGACGGGAGCTAGAAGAGATCCTTCTACTACAGTGGCAGCCTCCAGTGGCGCTGCTCCTGTTGCCATCGCCTGAGCAGGGTAGAGGTGGTCAGCACACGCTTTCAGGCCGAGGATCTTCCCCTCCTGTTATTTATCCCACTTAGCCTCCAAGGCGCTATCAGGGTGCAGTCTCTTTCCTAGACCCCGAGGTCTGGCACCCAGGCTCAACCCGCACATCACACCCCCGGAAGTCCATAACCCCACCTGGACCCAGGTGTCTCAGTCTCTGTCTCCAACCCAGGCAGCGAGCTCTCCCCTTCCAGGCTGCGCAGCGGCAGGGGAGAGCTCGACCCGACACCCCCCCCCCCCGCGAGTCGCGGACCCCGGCCCTCGGCCCGCTCAGTCCTACCTGGCCGGACCACCAGAGTTACCAGAAGGAGCAGCGCGCGGGGCCGAGGTCCCCAATCCGGCCTCATCTCCGGGCACCGCGGAGTCCGAGGTTCGAGTCTGCCTCGCCCTGACTCCCGAGCCCGCTCGAGAGTGTGAGGCGCCGCTGATTTCGCAAAGGCTCCCGCTTCTTCCGTTGCCGTTCCCCGAGGTTCAGGAGGGGACTCGGCTGGGCCGGGGCGCGCGGAGGCGGCCTCCTCCAGCCCCACGCTCGCGCCGTCCCGAACCGAACCGCCGGAGCCCGCGCCGCCCGCCGAGGCGGCAGGGGAAGCCCCGCGGGCGGAGCTCCTTCGCCCCGCGCCAGGGCCCGAGTGGGTCGAGGGTGCGGCCAAGAATGTCCCGCGAAACTGAAATAAAACTGGCTGCGGGGGAGACGAGTCGGGGCGAGCGGGCACCGGCCGGCGGGAGGACGGGGCCGGGCTCGGTAGTGCCAGCCCCCCCAGCCCCCGGCCGCGGCCGCCCGCGGACCTGTGAAATGGGGGACCCGCTGGACGCCCCTTCCTGCTTCAAGAAGCTTTCGCTTCCCGGAGCGGCTCCGAGGCGGCGGGGCCTAGTCACATGGCCAAGGTGGGGCGGCCAGGCGTGGGTGCCCAGCGTCCCACGCCCAAGCCGGTGCCACCTGGACCCAGCGCGCGCCCAGCCGCGGGGCGTGGCCGCCAGGAGCCACGGGGCTCGGGGCCTTAACGTCACGGCAGCCCCGAGGTGTTTACCTTCGAAAGTGATGGTCGCTGCAGGTACCGGAGAAGTGCGGCACGGGAGGAGTTAGGTCTCCTGCGGTTCGCCCCAAACGGACCCAAGCTCCTATTCCCTCTTCCCACACCCCATAGACCTAGGGTCCAAAACTCTTCCCTCCTCACCAGCCCTTTCTCCAGGGGATTAACCCTACCTCATCAATACCCTTAAACCCTACTCTTTGGGGGTTTGTTTTGTTTTGTTTTGTTTTTGTACCGGAGATCGAATTCGGGTCCTTGAGCTTGTGAGGCAGGTGGTGGAACCACTGAGCTAAATCCCAGGCCCCCTTAAACCCTACGTTTAAGGGATTTGGGTCCTCAAGTTTTGAGCCCAAATATATCATTTCATCCCTGAATACTCATCTTCAACCCTAATCTCTCACTTTCCAACCCAGCCCTCCAGTCTTACCCCCAAACTTCCATCTTCATCCAGAAACCCTCTTCTCAGCTCCCAATACTCTTCCTTCCATATCTCACTCTAAGTGACCCTCGACCCACATCCTGCCCCATTTAGTGACCCAGCCCCAAACTTTCTCACCACTACCCTGTCCCTCACCATATATCCCTTCCTCTTCTCAGTCTGGGCCAAGACCTTGTGCCCCTGAAGACATGGAGTTTGTGTCTGGATACCAGGATGAGTTCCTTGATTTTGCTGCTCTCCTCCTTGGCTGGTTCCACAAGTTTGTGGCAGAGCGGGGTCCAGTGGGGGCCAGCCTTGAGGGCCATTGGCGACCACTGGAAGCTCAGATCAAAAGGCTGCCCCAGGACCCTGCCCTTTGGGTGCTTCATGTCCTGCCCAACCATAATGTGGGCATCATCCTGAGGCAAGGGGCAGAGCTAGGGCCTGGATGCGGCCTGGGGGTTGCCAGGCTTCTGGGAGATGAGCCTCTGCTCCACCTTCAAGACCTGAGCCCCTATGTCAGCTTTGTCAGCCTAGAGGACGGGGAAGAAGGGGACCAGGAGGAGGAAGATGAAGAGAATGGAGAGAAGACAAAAAGCACAGAGAAGGTTGAACTGCAAGAGGTCAGGGAGCCAGCTTCTACCAGCAGGGAATCCCCCCAGGAAGCAAAGCCTCCACCGGAGCCAGGGGAGGCTGAGCAGGAAGCAGGTGGTGAGGATGGCTGCCCAGAGGACAGAGGGGAGGACAAAATGGCACGGGAGAAGAGGAAGGGACAGAGGAGTGGTAAGAATCCAGGGCAGGCCCTACCCCCTGCCCAGCCATTGTCCCAAATCCCTCCCCTGCTACTCAGAACCCAGCTAGGAATCACAGACTGGTAGCTTTCAGCCCAACCTGGCCCCAAAAGGCATTTTTATTGACTACTTTGAGTTGAGAGGGTATTTTGGGTTTGTTTGTTTGTTTGTTTGTTTGTTGAGACAGGGTCTTGATATGTAGCCCAGGCTGGCCTCTAATTCAAGGTGATCCTCCTGTCTCAGCCTCCAGAGTGCTGGGATTACAGATTTGCACCACCATGTCTGGCTCAATATTTGTTTGTTTGTTTAATTGAGTCAATGTTTTAACATTGTATGGTAGAGCATACTTTTTTTTTTTTTTTTGCAGTACTGGAGATCAAACTCAGGACCTTGCGCTTTCCAGACAGGCGAGGTACCCCTGAGCTAAATCTCTGGCCCAATGTTTTAATATTGAAAGAAAGCTAAGCATGGTGGCACATGCCTGTAATACTGGCACTCTTGGAATCTAAGGCAAGAGAATTACATATCTGAGCCCAGCCTGTGCAACCTATTAACTTACTAAGACTCTGTCTCAATAAATGAATAAATACATAAATAAAGGCTGGGAATGTAGCTCAGTGTGACAGCCCTGGGTTCGATGTTTAGTACCGCAGAAGAAAGGAAGGAAGGAAGGTTGGTTGGGGAAAGAAGGAAAATCCAGAAGTCTGGGTTTTTACAGCTTCTCAAGAAAATCTAAAGTTCTGAAATCTCATCTGCATTTCTGCATGCCACAAATTCTGGTACTGGGTGGCAGCACCGCCAACACCAGGGATGCTCCCTCTACCTAGTCCCTTTACTGGCTGAGGTTTCTTGCCTATCCCCTGTGGGCATTTGAGTTCGGTGCCTCCAACCATCTTTATCCCCTGCTCTCTCCTCCAAACCAGAGGCTGGCCCCTTGCACCTCTCCTGCCTTTTACTGGTGACAGATGAGTATGGTACCATCTTGGGCATTGATCTGCTAATGGATAGAGCCCAGGGAATCACAGACCAGGACTCAGGAACCAAGAACCTGGCTCCTCGGGCCTATACTCTCCTCTGCCACAGCATGGCCTGCCCCATGGGCCCCGGGGACCCCCGAAAGCCCCGACGACTTACTGTGGGAGACGCCCGACTGCATCGGTACAGAAACCCTGGTATCAGAGGGTGGGGATGCCTGGGGCCCAGACTCCCAAGCACCTCCACACTGATGCCATCTCCACCCCCATTCAGAGAGCTGGAGAGCCTGGTTTCAAGACTGGGAGTGAAGTTAACAAAGACCCCAATGCGCACATGGGGACCGCGGCCAGACTTCACCTTTGCCTCTCTTCGAGCTCGAACCTGCCATGTGTGTCACAGGCACAGCTTTGAAGTGAAGCTGACACCCTGGTAAGCAGTCCACAAAGATGAAATCAAAGGAAGAGCCCAACAGGCAAACAACAAAAGCAAGCAGGCCAGTGGGAGACCCTGCAGACAGACAGACGGAGGGCAAGGGAGATAAGATGGAGATGCAAGAAACAACATATAAGCTACTACAGGCAATTACGGGGTGTAAGACAAACAGGCCAAGTGACAAATGGCAGCTGTGTGGCAGATGGACAGCCAACAGGCCCTACAGAGATTAACACTGTCTGTCCCCTAGCCCCCAGTGCGGTGCTGTCCTGTACTGTGGAGAGGCTTGTCTCCAGACTGACTGGCGGCGATGCCCAGATGATGTGAGCCACCGATTTTGGTGCCCAAAGCTTGCAGCTTTCATGAAGCGGGCAGGGGAACTGGCAACTCTGCCTTTTACCTATACTGCAGGTACCATAAGGATGTAGGTCGGAGTAGGGGGACACTGGGATCAGGTCTTAAAAACAGAGGGCTGGGTTCCCTGGGAACAAGGTCCTGGGACTGAAGGCTAAGAGTCCTTGGTTGGAGTCTAGATGCCCAGAATTAGTGTTTGGTCCTGGGTGTTTGGAACTGGGGGCTAAGCCTCTCAGGCTGGAGATGGGGTCTCTGAAGTAGAAGACTGGGTGCCTGGGTTTCTAAGAGCATTAGGGTATTTGAGCTAGGGATTCAGATGCTTGCTTCCTGACTCTACAACCACCTGGCTGTGTGTCTTAAACACATCAATCATTTTACTGCTTGGATCCTCAACTATTTTGGGGGGTGGCACTAACAAATGTAACATTTTTACAAAGGTCATGCGGGCTTCGTGCCTGTAGACACTCAAAAATGGTTCCCTCTGATAAGACCCAGACTGAGTCACAGGGCCATGGGGGAGGAAGTAAATCTTGGGGCCCAGCCATCCGGCCCTCAACCCTTCCCACCCTCCTTCTCCAGAGGTGACAAGTGAAACCTTTAACAAGGAAGCCTTCCTGGCTTCTCGAGGCCTCACTCGTGGCTACTGGACCCAGCTCAGCATGCTAATCCCAGGGCCTGGCACCCGCAGGATCCCCCAGGGCAGCCTGCCATCCCTCAGCCTTGTCAGTGGTATGTAAACCTCATTTTAGGCATAGCTCCCTTGGCCTGGAGGGAAGAATTAGGGGGAAAAAAGCTGTCTATGTCCCAGATAACCCCTCCATATACAAACCAAATCCCTACCAACACCTCAAGGCCACTTCAAGCCTTTCCTCAGCCCTCAAAGGAGTCACTTCTACCTTCCCATCCAACAGTCCTGGCTGCAAACAAGCCTCCACGCCACCTCCTATTCCTAAGCCCTCAGGAAACACAGCTCCTCTAGGAGGAAGAGAGAGGTGGGTTGAGTGAGGGTTTTCTAACCCCAAGCCCCTCTTCTCTCTTTCAATCCCTCAGGAGATCCATACCAACTTCTGCAAGTGGATGGGGCTCCCCTGATGCCTCCAGTGCCCTCGGATCCACCCAGGCACCCCTTTGGTGAGCTGCAGGGACCCTGAGGGAGCTAGGAGTTGAGGCAGGAACTGGAGGGCTAGAAGCCTCAGTGGCTGAGAAAAAGGGAAGCCATTAGACCAGATAGAATGGGGTCCAGGCCTGGGGTCAGGTCTTCTGGTAACCCACTCTCACCAGGCTCATGGCTGGATTACTATACATGGCGAGGCCTCAGTCTTGACTCCCCCATGGCTGTGCTTCTCACCTACCCACTGACTGTGTACTACGTCATCACGCACCTGGTGCCCCAGTCCTGTAAGAAATGCAAGGCATGATGGGGGATGCAGGGAGGGGGAGTGAGGGAGACCATAATCTTAAAGAGCTGGCTTCTTGCCAGTCCCTGAGCTCAACATCCAGAACAAGCAGTCACTGAAGATCCATGTGGTGGAGGCAGGGAAGGAGTTTGACCTTGTCATGGTGTTTTGGGTAAGTCTCTCCTGGCCTGGAAACGGCACCAGGTGGGAGTGAGCATAGGATGGGACCCAAGACCTGCTCTTCTCCCTATCCTTTAGGAATTCTTGGTCCTGCTCCCCCACATGGCCCTAGAGCTGCAGTTTGTGGGTGATGGCCTGCCCCTTGAGAATGACCAGCAGCATTTTACCCTGCAGAGGGTGAGAGTGGAGGGGGCCCTACTCTTCAGCCCTCATTCCTCTACTGACCTGCCCTTCCTGGCCCCACTCCTGTCTTGCCTGGTGCATCCTCTGGTACCCTGACTTCTGGTGGCTTTCTCACCCCCCTCCTGTCCCTACAGGATGCCCCTGAGGTATCTGTTCGTCCTAGCTCTGGGGTATCAGCACGGCTCAGCTCTGGGGTTAAGGAGAAGGGGGGCCGCAGGGACCTGCAGATCAAGGTGTCAGCTAGGCCCTACCACTTGTTCCAGGGACCCAAGCCCGACCTGGTTATCGGTAAGAGTTTGGGGCTCAAGGGCAGGAGTGTGGGAAAGGTAGGAGAGCAGACCCTGGGAACCAGCATCGTCCTGCTCTTCCTGAACAGGATTTAACTCCGGCTTTGGCCTCAAGGACACATGGCTGAGCTCTCTGCCTCGATTACAGGTGGGAAATCTCT